GATTTTCCTCCACTTCTTCTTGTTCTCCACAGCCAACTGTTCCCTGCAACAGAAACTGTTGTAGAAAAGCTGATGAATCATTGTTCCAACTTTTTCAACTTCACATTTTCCAAACGAAATTCGTTATTTCTCTTGCTGATCTCCCTAATCTGTTGCTGATTGATCTCGTGTAGCTCTTTAGAAGCTTCGATAAATAGATTCAGCTCTTTGTTCCTTTCTTTGCTTACAGCATCTTTCTCTTCTTCAGCTTGTGTGATTTTCAATTGACCTTCTTCCTTTATTTTTTTAAGTTCCACCTCAGCCTCTCGCTTCTCATTTTTGTGTTCATTTTCCATTTTATCAACCTGAAAGCACGCTGAATTGAATAGTGTTCTATTTCACAAATCCAAATTACTTTCATTCGATGCTCCATCTCCGCTTTGTCCCGGGCTTCTTTCGATTCTGACCTCATTGCCAGAACTTTTTTCGAGTGTTCATCATTCATTTTCTTCATTTCCACGTCATGTTGCTCTTCATTTATTCTGATCTTCTCCGTCTTTGCGCTGTATCAATTTCAATCTATCAAAAACGTTTCCGATTACTCACTTTACTACTTTATCATTCTCTTCCTTCTGGATTCGAATCCTCTCATTTGCAGCTTCTTCTCTTCTTCGGAACGCAGCTTCTGATTCCTCTTGACCTGTCAAAATATTAATTTGATTTCGAAATTCTATATGGTAGTCAACGGAACTCACCCTCTTTCAACTTTCTCATTGCTTCTTCGTGTTTCTGCTTACTTTCTGCACTCACTTTTTTCAATGCATCAATTTTTCGTGTTGGATCCTGAAATAATTCTTAAGATTTGTTTTTAAAATTTATTACTTACCGATCTTATGTCATCTATTATTTCAAGACCTGCATTGAATGCTTCTTTTACCAACGGTACAACAGCCAAAAATTTCATCCATCCCATGTTTCCTGAACAAAGGAAATTAGCTAATTGAGAATGGTTGACTTTACAAATATGATATGAAAGAAAAAAAAGATAGAATATATAGACCGAGAAATACAAAAACAAACTTAGTGTTAACAAGGGTTAGCAAAGGTGGTTGACATGAAGGAGACAAACATAGTAAGGGTGTTATGAAATTGACTATGAGGAAGAAGAAACATGCAATGACTGATAGGAAATAAAAGTGAGGAAGAGAGGGGGCAATCATCAGAAAATAAAAAAAAGACAAAATAAGCATGAGGAAAGAATTCAATACCGAAGCACAAAGACGAAAAGTCAGTGTTTTGGGAAAACGAACTAGTTCAAAGATATATAAATGAATGCTTTCCAAACACATTGAGAAAAAACAGGAAAATTTTGAGCGAAAAAGAATTCATAAGCAGTTTATAAACAAGAAATATGTAACGAGATCGAAAACCGAAAAAGTGGAACGGAACGTTAGCTGGTGACTTTTCTGATGAAGGTGAAAAGTTACAGTAACCAATTTTTTCCAACTATTTCTTACTGATTAATTGCTTGCAGCGAACGACCCTCTGCACTGGGCAAATGTTCGATTTGCATGTTTCTAGTGCTATCATCCAACTTGACGCACAGTTCCAAAAAAAGTTGGTGTAACGTTGTCGATCTCTCCCCGTAGAATTCAATTATTCTTAAATCCTCTGTGTTGGGGCTTTCTTTTGAAAGTCTCAGTGGAAGTTGAGAGCACATTTCAGATAAATCTTGAGAAGTCATCAGTGCATCCATATCTCGTATGAGCTCCTGAACATAACTTTTTGCCAACTAAGGCAAACATTTCTCTTACTGCACAAGCTTCCAACAATCTCCGCTCGGTACGATTGGTGTTGATGACATACTGACTGAATAGACGTTTTTCATTTCTGAAGCTATTCATTGCTGATTGAATATTTGAGAAATCGACGTCTAGCTTTCCAGGAATAATTGTTGGAGCTCCTCCATGTGCGGGTAAGCACTAAAGTTATTATTTCAGACATTGCCTTTCGGATTTCCCACTCACATCACATCGGATACTTCCTAACGATATACTCCCTGTTATCACGGTCTCAATGATTCTTTGAAACTCTTGGATAACGTTTTTGGCGTTTTGATTTGTCAACTCTCTCATGAGATCCTTGTAGTTTTCATTCATCTTGTCCATTTTCACTTTATTTTCAATTTCCAATTGATTCCTGAAAATTTTTGCTGTAACTAAGCTTTCTTAGCTCCCGAGTATTTTAACCAACTTTCGTATTTTCATGTTTTCCAGACGGAATGCCGAATTTCTTGTTCTTATTTTCCTGACGTTTTCCTGATGAGAATCTTCCAACTTTTCAGATGCTTCCAAAAAAGTTTGCAGTTCTTCATTCCTTTTTTGAATTATCCCATCCTTTTTCTTCTCAGCTTCAACAACTTTCTGACGTCCTTCTTCTTTAGCTTCAGCTAAAACTTTTTCAGCCTGAGTTGTCTGCTTCTTGTGTTCTTCTTCCATTCTGCTCAACTGAAGAAATTGAAAATTGTATAACATAAAACATTCATAGCGACCTTAAATCTATGGTCCTGCTCAGCTTGTTTCCTTTTCTCTTCCGTTTCCGTTCTCATATTCTTGATTCTAGATGAGTGTTCCTTATTCATTTTTTCCACTTCATCATTGTACTTCATATTTTGCTTTTTTATCTCCGCGCTGAGCATTCTGGAAGCATTCGAACTTACTTACAATTTGAAATCTTGGTTAGAATCTCTATTAAAAACATAGAAATTCTACTGGAATTGCTCACTCTGTAATTTTTTGGTTTTCGTCTCTCTGTGACTTGATCCTTTCGTTAGCTTCATCTTCTATTTTCTTCGCATTGGACTCATATTCCTTTTGACCTGTGAAAGATATGATAAACAGAAGTTTTTGAATTAAAAGCACAAAATGATCCAGCTAATTGTAAGGGATTTTTCAACTCACTTTTTCTAAGTGTGTCCATTGCTTTCTTGTGTAGTTCCTCATTGTCTTCCTTCATCTTCCGAAGAGCTCTGCATTGCGCTTCGGGATCCTAAAACACTGAAATATTCAAAACTTTTATTGGGTCGAATTTTCATCCCGATTGCGACATATCGTTTAGTTCATAAAGTCCTTTTGCTGCATTAATCGTCACAGAAGCCAGTGTTGCAATCATTGTAACTGTTGCCGGATCCATCTGAAGTTTATTGAAATAAATAAAATGACAGAACTGAGTGAATGCATAGAAATAAAGTTATGGAAGGTTTTCTTATATAGAAAAAGATAAGAAGTTGAGGATAGCAATAGAAATTTCGAGCAAAAAAAATTATCAGAAAATAGACCGTAAACAAATTTAGTGATGAGGAAGGGTCGAGAAGACAAATATGAGTGAGGAAAAGCATGGGTTCGATGAAAAAAAATTTTAATGATTTGAAAAGAAGGAAATTAAAAAACTGCTAAACTTGGTAAACTAGGTAGCATTAGCTTTTCAGTATGTATGTTTTTTGTTAACGCATGGTGTGTTTGCCGCGCCTCCATCTTTTCAAAAGACTGGCTGGTTCGCCTACGGAGCTATTTTGCTGTTCCGCTCCTCAGTTTCCTGGCAGAATTTTAAAACTAATTTTGGATCCCTGATATTTGGGAAGCGTTTTCTGATTGGGATTCCGACTTGCCAGACCCACATGACAGGTAAAATTTGGTGACATAGAAAAAAGAAAAGAGACATCACTTTATATATTGTTATAAAAATGATTCAAACCTAATTGAAAGAATGAGAAAAAGAAGAAAAGTCGGATTATGAATCCAAAGTAAACGGAATTAAGAAAAAATAATTATTTCATAGATTCTTCATTTCGAGACTTCAATTCAGCCAACGTTGGAATTGAATTCGTGACTGCTGATAGCACGGAGAAGCATTCTTCAATCCGAGAAGTGTTAGAAGGCTCATTCTGAAATTTCTCATCAGTTTCAGACATTTCTCTGTATCCTGTCAAATACCTTCAAAACGTAAATAAGTCTGTTACACTCTTCTTTAACGTCGATTACGGAATCCTTGATGTCCAATAAAAATGTTTTTCCATGCTCATTGTACAATTTATCCATCTCGATTGCCTCGTTTTCCATCAACTCCTTCTGCTGAGAAATTGCTGACAACAATTTGCTAGTATCCAAATTTGACTCATCCCTAACACGTTTCATTTGATTGTATGACTTTTGAATGTCTTGAAATGACGACCTCAAAGCATTCAATCGGTTTGCCCAATTTGATTCAATGATTTGATTCCAAACTTTCATTTGGAGAGCCCTTTGAATTTGATAGAGATATTCCTCCATTTCTGCTCTTCTCTGTTGTCCTCTTCTCCTCAATTCTTCCAGGTCTTTCTCCAGTTGATCCTCGATTTCACGTTTTCGTTGCTCAGCCCTTTCTTTTTCTCGTTGAAGTTCTTCTTTTCGTTGTTGTTCTTTCAATTCGAAATTTCTCCTGTCAGCTTCAAATTCCTCATCCAACCTTTCCGAATTCCGTTGATGAATTTCTCGTGCCCTGTAGACATCAATAGGTGAAGTAAAATTCTTCTCAACTTACCTCAATCTCTCCGTTTGAATTGCTTCCACTTCCCGTTTTCCTTGACTTCTAAGTTGATCAATCTCAAGGTTCGCAATCTGAAATTTCCTTATGTTCTACGTCGATCATTAAGCTAACTTACTGCATTCTTGACAGCCTGATCTCTCTTATTCTGCTGCATAATTTTGCTTAATCTTTCCTCATTTTCCTCCTTCAATTTCATAAACTTTCTATGATTTTCTTCATCATTCGCAGCCATTTCCAGTATCGCTTTCTGAAGATTCTGCCGTCTCTCAGCCATCCTTTGATCCAACGCTATTCTTCTCCTTTCATTTTCTTCTCTGAAATAAACTGATACGATATATTTGAAAAACTCATAATTCTCACTGTTCTTCCTTCTCCATTTCTTTCTTCTGATTTTCAAGAAGCCTTTGAAAATTATCATTTTCATGATTGAGGTTATTTTCTAAGGGTGTTTTTCTGATTGCAGAAATATCACGATGATTCTCACGATGTTTCCATTGAGAAAATTTATAACAACCGATAGCCACAAATACCGCACCAGCGACAACTCTACCTTTTGTGGTCTGGTTTTAAAATTTGGATATATTGAACTCAAAAATTTTGAGCTTACCATCAGGAAAAAGTTGTAGTAATATTTCAAAGTATCTAAAGAATACTTCCAAAATGTTTCTCTCTCGTTTTCTAAATCCATTTTCTGATGGTGAAAAATCAGAGAAATAGTGATGAGCAAGAGGGACAGAAGAAGAGAAGAAGAAGAAGGACTGAACGAAATAAACAAGTAACAAGTGAAATTGTGTTGGAGATAAGAATAGAAGTGAGGAAGAAGAAGGGGAAGTGAAGAAGTAAATATTTATTGGGAAATAATTGAAATTTCCATGAATTTTGTTTTAAAGGTGGGGGGACAGGAGATTTTTTGTAGTTTTTTTGTAGCTAGAGTATGCATTCATTGCGTAATGGTGTACAAAAAAAAGTGTTTGCGGCGCGCATGCACCAAACCTGACGACAGAAATTATTTTCTTTTCACGCTTTTTCTTTGTTTTTTTTACTGTTTTCTAGCTATTTTACCATTTTTCTGCTATGAATTAGTGCAAAATAATATAAATGTTTTCCCTGAATAGTTTTCCTTCAATTTTCCTAAAATTTTCTTTCTATTCGCGTATAATTTAGCTGTCTGAAGCCTGAGATTCGAATTTTCTGCTGTTAACCTCTTTTTCTTGCTTTATTCATTTCAAAATCGATTCAAATTATAACAGAAATAGAAAAAAAAGGAACAAGTCTTTATTTGAAGCTTTTGATTGACAGAAATTTATCGATTTCATCGAAATTTAGAACTTTTAGTTATCTTCACCAAATTTAGTTGAAAATATATGATTTCCTAACAAAAATGTTATGATTTGGTGTTTCTGAAAGATAATTTGGTATCAAAATTTGATTATTTTTTGAGATTTAAAAAATTTTCAAGTGACAATTGAAGATAAGTAAAGAATAATGACAGTTTTGCCGAGTATGAAGATACTCAGTGGGCAGCTTTCGCTTCCTTTCTTGTCTACTTTTTTGGCACTTTTTTCTTTTTCTTCAATCTAGTCTCTTCGATTTCATCTTCCTCTTTCTCGTTTCTCTCTTCTTCCTCATCATCATCCATTTTCCTTCCTTCTCCGTCTTTCATACTGTTGTCGCTGTCTTCTTTTTCCTCCTCATTTTCTTTCTCTTCTTCGTCGAACACCGATTCCTCTTCGTCACTATCGGCCATTCCCAAGTGAGCCCAAATATCGTCGACCTGTAATTTGGATAAGACACATACTGTTAGTTGGAATTTTATATTTACGTCAAATACGTCCTTTGAGAGCTCTTCATCTAACTCATGCTCGTCGCAATCTGAGCCTTCATCTTCGTCTTCTAGTTCATCAGCATGTGTAGCTATTTTTTATAAAAAGTCAAAATTGCTCAAACTATTAATTTTTAGGTGTATTGTAAAACCTTTAATGTATAGCTCGACAGTAATATCAGCAATTTCATTTCTGAATGAATAGTCAGCTGGTGTTTTCTCTTTTCGGACCGACCATTGCTTAGTGGTCTTGTTGAAGAACCTTTTCTCAGCAATTACAACGCGTTTTCCGTTGAGCTCATCTAGCTGTTTGCTATTCCAATCCAACACTGCGAGCTGTGTTCTACTGTTGAACCCCTTTTGAGAGCTGAAAACTATTTTTCCTGGAAAATTAAGATCATGCTATACTAGAATCTTTTTTTGCTTGCGTAGAAACCAGCTCTCGCGTTGAAGGACTCGACTGCGCTCGTAGCGAAATACGGGGATACTCTTCCGATTGCCTCACAACGGTCCCCTTTCTCAATGACAGCTAAGAGAGCATTCAGAGCTTTGACGTGCAGGGGATTTTTGGTATCCAGAAAATCTGGTCTTTTTCTGTTGACGTCATCCGATTCATTGTGCTCGCAAGAGTTCACTATTTTGAAGTCATACCAACCAGAATCCTAAAAAGTTTGTTTCTAACTTTTCAGAGGCATTACAATTTGAAAACACCTGAAAATCTTTATGAATATCTGCCACATGCATGAAAAAAGACAACAGCTTTTCCTTGGCCATTTCGTCATGTCCACCAGACGACTGAATGGACCAATAAACATGGTTGATGAACCTTCTTATCCATGGCTTAAGTGGAAGGAACTGCTTTTGATTTTTTTTTTCTAAATTGTTATAATTATTCCTTCATGAACATATCTCAAATTGCTACTTTCAAGATTTCCAAAGCTAGACTTCTGATATAGTGCCAGCTGTCGAAGTAGTGGGTGACATCTGGAAAGTTGTTTGCCATCATCGAGGCTACACTTTGACTACGATCTGTGGTGAGCGATTCGATGGCCGAATCATAAGTAACCATCAAATTTTCGAAAGCTTTCTCGCATGCCTCTGTTTCTATATTCACTTTCTTCTCTGAAATCTTCTAAATTTGGAATTTGTTTATTCCGTATATCAACCTCCAGACTTGTGACGAAAAATCTCATATTCCACAACAAGTTTCGTAACTGCCTCCATTATGACATAACGGCAATATAATGCACTGTGTCCCGGGGTGTCAAATGAGCCGTCGCCCATAACGTTTAGTGTTCCATTCTAAATTTTTGAGTACTCTAAAGTGTGTGATATTCTCCTTTCTTACATTGTCTGTGGTTTCGCAGAGAAGCTCTTTCACAACATTTGCCTGCTTCTTGTATTGAATATTAACGGCTTCATAAACGTACTTCTCCTTTAGCCTATTGAAGGTACGAGCAAAGAAAAATGGCGATTTCAGTACGTCAAACAGCTGTTTCACATTCTGCATGTATACTTTTTTATAACTGTCTTGTAAACTTATTTCTACCTGAAACCCATTTCCAGTTGTTATGATAGCCGATGTCAGCAATATATGAATTCTGGACAACTTTGAGTTCGATCCAGATTGCTCTCGTTCACATTTCTTGGTGTTAGACCAATACCATCTTCTTTGGCAACTGACACAAAAAACCGAGATCTAAAAACTATTGAAACTATTTTTAGATCCTTTAGATCCTACGTTCATATTCAATCCATGGTAGACGATACCCATCTCTGTTTTTTGTGTTTCGCACTTCCAACACTTTTGAAGAAGTTTTACTAACTTCTCTTTCTCGCAGAGAATTAAATTATATTGCTGTGGTTTTTCAGATATCTCCACCTCATCGACGTCATCAATTTCCATTGGATCGGCTCCTTCATGATCAGGACGTTGAAACTAAATTGAGTGTTTTTGAAATTCGGTGATTTTATATTAGCATTCTCATAGTTTTTTTCTTTTTTTGCTTCAAACAAAACGTAGATGACAGAGGATCAAGTTGTTAGTTTTGCATTAACTTTCTATTGTGCTGGTATACAAAAGTCGGAGCTGTGGAAGAGAAATTCTTGTGGCCACAACCACGGCCGAACTACTGTAATTTACAGCTATGAATTTTTACAAGCATAATAATGTTTTATGATTTTTAGCTACCATAGATTATATTATTATTCATTCATTATCTAGGTTGTTTTCTTCGTTTTCTGACAGCTTTATCACCTAACCCTACCCTACTCGAGGGTAACAATACGAGTATAATTAGTAATCAAAAGTTAGCAAATTTCAACATTCTGCTTCTTTTTTTTTCTAAAATGTTCAAAACTAAGGTTTAGTTACACAATTACAATCAAACTGACAAATGAGAAATACCATCACCGAATTTCACTATGTGTTTTCTGTACTATGCTTTCAAAATTGCATTTGTTTTTTTTTCTTTACGAAATAAAGTTGTTTTTATGCAGGTATAAAATTCTATTCTTGCTTACATCGCTTTCCTCTGAAACAGAATCAACTTCAGTAGGTTCACTACTGTCATCTGAAATCCTTCCTTCTTCTTCGCCCCATAGCCAGTGGTCCAGTTCCTCTTGAGAAACTTCTCGCGGTGGAATCTATCAGAAAAACAGTATATTCTTGCTAAAAATGTCACTTTTCTCACATTTCGAGGGATTTTATTTTTGCTTCGCTTTCCTTCTTCAAAATGAGACAGGCAGATGTACGGCATTCGATACCTCGCACAGTTTTTTTCTGAAAGTTTCTCCAAGGGAATCTGCCCATTTTCTTCTTCGTTCTTCATTTTTGGGGACCAGGGTCGCGTCCTTTCTGTCCAGATGGCTTTCGCACAGAACACAACACATTCTGCATTTTGCACTGAAATTCGTTTCGCAAAATTTATTTGCTAACTTAAAAAGCACACCCTGTTAATGTTTTCTTCAATTGGGGGTTGATATTGAAAAAAATTTGAAATTTGAAATTCATTTTGAGCTGAAAACCAAGTTGAAAAGATAATTTTTAACAAAAAAAATAAATTATAGGTGGCGTTTCGGTAAGTTCTTTTGAACTTCGAAAAACCTGAAAAAAATTTGAAAAAAAAACACCGAAAATGATGAAAATGAGTTCAATAACAAAATGGTAGTGCTCGCGGCCGCGGGGGACTTGAAAGCTTAATTTCGTCTCTATGGGGCAATTTCTGACAACTTCTGTAAAAAGTCCTTCAATTGGAGGTGGTGATCTTTTTAATTTCAAACCCCTTTTTTCCAAAACTTTGAATCAAAAAGTTTGGTGAATTCTTATTCAATATTTATGAAAACCTATTGACTTTACCAACATCGAACAATTTCCCACGCTTTTCTAGGTGGGTCCAAATATTAGAGGGGCGCATTCAGCTTGTCGTCTCACGAAGAACATTCCACACTTTTCCATTTCTAGAATCATCTTTCAATCTTTTGACATGAACACTATTAAACATCGCTGAACATTTCAGCTTCTAATTTCCAGCCCATTGACCTCTACTTTTTTGCCTAGGTGTCATTCTGTAACACTTTAACCCCCAGCCCTCTCTCTTTTTTTCTTGAAGACAACCGAAAATTGTTACAAAAATGTACAAGTAGCCATTCACTTTTTTGTCGTCGCCTTTTCCCAAAAAATTCGAGTTTCCTCTCGTGTTACCAACACTTCTCCCTCATTTGGCTGGGTGGTTGGTCTCACATATGACGACGTTGTGGTCACTACTTTTTCTATTTTTTGGATTTTTTAGAATTTGTTCAGGTGAGATTAGGTCATTAATCAATTACAATATCAAGTTTAGGTTTGAACAATTGTCCAATTGCTCCAATACGGTCGGTTATTCAGCGAGCAGCTGAAACTACCAAAGATGCTGTGACCCAGATGCAAATGATTAGAAGAATACTAGAAGATATTTATGGTGGAACTTGGGGAGTTTTGGTTATTCGGAATCCGGCTCTTGTTTCAAAAGGTTTGTAGTTTGAAAATATTTATTTATTGAATTCCAATATGAAACCTGTAATAGAAGGGCACCGCACTGTCAATTTTGAGATCACTTATCTCGATTTCTGTGAGAAGTATGAAAATTCTGTCGACTGAAGAATTGTTTATCATATCATCAGAAGTGTTTTGTCAGTTGACACAATTTTGATACATACATTGCACAGGAGCCAAGAAAAATTAGCTCAAACTTGACAAGGTGGCGGTCTTCCTATTACAGATTATACGGGTGCATTTACCGATTTTCTGTGGCCCAAATTCTCTTCTCCTAATTTTTTATTTGTTTGAGAAAGTTTGACTTTTTTGAGAATTCATTCCCATCCTGACTATCTAAAAATAGACTTAAATCTCAACCCTAAATAACAACACTTTGAGAAGTTCACTGGACATTCCCTGACCACAACAATTCAGATGGGTCTCCAGCATTTTGCCTTGCAGTGGTCAACAAGTAGGTCATCAAACACTCTGACTCATAACTTCCTCTTTTTCAATCAGATGGCAGTACAACGTCTTCAAAACTGGTCAAGACGACTCGCCACACAGGGTGACCATTGAAAACATAATACAACGATTCTCATCGGGAACACTTCCTAAAATGGGAAAGCTTTCAAATGGCAAGAACAAGGTACGCATTGAAACTTTTTGACATATAAATTCAAAATTCACATTTTAGGGAAAGTTCTTGGATTTGGATACAGTAAAACAAGTTCCACAAAGATATTCTATTGCACAGTTGGATCGAATGTTATCAAACGCTCTGGATGAAAACCATCGGGTTCGACATAACAGATCACCAAAACTTGTTAATTAACTTTGTAAAAAATGTGTTGTGTTGCTAAAAATGAAAACGGGTTTTATTGTTTCCCTTCCATACAATATTTTTTACAATCATTATAAGTTAAGAAGTTATTGAAATTGCCTCCTTGACCGAAATACGAGAACCGTATACAATTTTTAAGGCCAGGTTGATAAGCGTATCTTCCATAATGTTTAAATGCAAGTCGTTCTGTTCCGGAAGATGCTGGAAGTGCGCAAACATGATCTTTGTAGGGGCAACAGAAGTTTTTCTTTGTGCATCTGTATCCTGTTGGGCATCCATTGTCGCATTTCTGAGCTTTTGTGTCGATTTTGGCATCGGTTGGAAGTTTGCACACATTAACTAAAATCAGAAAAAGAATTGAGTGGACTAGTATCAACAAACCTTCAAGACTCATATCTTTGTTGAGTTGTTCTTCTTCCTCCTCTTCTTCTTCTTCATCTTCTACTTGTTCTGGATCAGCTTCATTTTCCTTTTCCTTCTTCTCCATCTTTATCTTCTTTTGTTTTCCGGGAACGCAAGCTGCAGTACACTCGTCTCGAGAATCAAAACGATTATCATTTCCAGCGCATCCACGATAGAATAGAGGTTGACAGACATCTAAAAATTCGGTTTTCCGGCGGTATACCATAAACACAGAGTGTCACATAAACTTTCAACTTTGAGCTAATTTATCTCGTTTTGTGTGAAAGATATCAAAAAGTATTTGATATTGTGATGAGCATTTTATTAGTAAACGAGTACATGATATCTTTTACTGTGAATTATGGGTTCAAAGTTGACGGTTGGAAAACTGTGAATAATAAATAACTCACTTGTCCTCATGTCGAAATAAAATTTTATGGTGATTGGGTTATTGTCACAGTTTACTCCAGTATCTTTCTCCTGGCGGCAGTTCACTGACCATACTGAAAACAATTTGAATATTGGAGATCCGTTTAGAACACTTATTTATTATTACCTGCAGAAATTGATGAAAACAGTAATAATATTTGGATTGAAGTGGAGACCATTTTCTGACTGAAACTGGCTGAAATTTTGAGACAGTACTAATACTTATAGAATAGGAAGTCAATAAATAAGAAGAAAACAACTATCGTCACGATTGGTCGAATTTGTCGTTTTATAGACAGTTTTAAGGTCATTTTACCGGAAAAGAGAATGAAATGTATCTTCTTATGAAATCTGCGTAAAATATAATCGTATAAACTGTTGGGTCTTTCGAAACTAACAAAGACCCAGAACAATGTTCAATGAATGAGAGAGAAGAGGTGTAAAAAGAAAGGTCGAGATGCCATTGTCCTAGTATTTTTTGGTGGGAAGAATGAAAAGAAAATTGAAAGTTTTTGGAGGGGAGTTTGAAGTGTGGGTTTAATGTTTACTTTTGAAATTAGGTTCCAGTTGATTGTTAATTTTTTAGTAACCAGATAACTATTTGTTTCAGTCTGTGTACTTTCAAATGCTACTTTCTTCAGTGTTCCAACCGCCAGGAAAGTCTCGAATTTCAAAAAGTAAACTCTTATTAACTTTTGAAATATATAATACTATCAGGAGTTGTTTGCTTAGAACCAGATTTGATATTTGTTTCCAATTATTTGTTCTGAAGCACCTTTTGTATTCAATGCGCTAAATATTTCTTTTTGAAAATCTGCCAAAAACCAAAGCCAAACGACACTCCGCTATTCCGTTTGCGCGCGTTGTTTACCGTAAATGCACCCCACATTTATGCATTTTTTAGCTTTTCAACACAATTTCCCTTCTTTTCACTACTTTTTAGAGTTTTTTTTTTCGATTTTTAACATTATATCAAACAGTTCTCCACTCAAAAAATGTGGCATGAAGCCCGTCGGCAGGAGAAAATCCTGCGCTCAACGATGATCGATCAATCGAAACGAGCTGAGCGAAAACGACGGTATTTTGAGAATGTGGTATGTTCAGCCTAAATTTTTCATTGTAAAGTGTTATTTTTATGTCATTTTCAGAGAAAAGATCCCGAACAATTCATGCAAATTCACGGACGAAAAGCACAAGTTCATGCTGACCTGGGAATTGCTCGCGCCGCAGAAGACACAAATATTTTACGTCCGTGGCAAGGAGATCCGAAAATTACGATTGATCGGTTCGATGTCCGTTCACATCTTTCGAGAATGGATTTAATGGATGACGATGATGATGTAGTTCGAAAAAAGAAACAAGACGTAGTTGACGACAAAGAAACAATTGTAACAGATTTTGAACGATACCGTGTCTTGATAATCAACGACTACAAAGGTGTTTCGGAGAAAAGTTATCTCAAGAAAATTTCGGATCGTGAGTTTTGGCATGCCGAGAAGGAGCATTCGAAGAAGATGGAAGCCGAGAAAAAGAAGAAATCAGCGGAGAAAAAATCAACGATTGGATTCAGCTACGAAGATTCTGAAGTCGTGAAAGGTGGAAAAGGAGGCAAAGAACCATCAGATGAAGAAAGTGAAGAGGAAATGGACAATATGCAAGATTTAGGTTAAATTCTAAACTGTCGAAGGCTCATCTAATCAAATAATTTTCAGACGTTGACCTGGACACTGCTGCTCTTAACCCGGAGACTCAACGGATTGTGAATAAAAGTGGAGAGGAGTTTGGAGTCAGACGCGGTCTTTTCTGTGCTCTTCTGAAAGCAGATCAGCAAGCGTTACGAGACGCTGCTCAATTGAAACAAATAGATCGGCAAAAGGCTCAGCTCTCTGTCCGTACCCATAAGTAATTTCATTAAAAAACACATTTCTGAAACTAATTTGATTTTTTCATTGTCTAATTCTCGGTTCCCAAAAACTGTAATTCACGACCTTTTTTCAGGGACGAGAGTCAAAACATGAACGAATGCTTCTTCGTCAACAACGCCAAGCAATTGTTGGAAAGAAGGGAATGGTTATCTCTGAAAACGGCGCCACGGCCACTCTCCTGGGATTCATCAATCAGAGTCAGAAGAAATCAAAAATCGATGAAATGATAGAAGACATGGATGGAAGTGATGACGGTGATGACCGACGCGTCAAAGCAGAATTCATCACGACTTTTGGCGGCGGAGGGGATAAAGACAGTGATGATGAAGTAAAGAAAGCAGCTGTTGGACCTGAGTTACCTTCCGAAGAGTATCGAAAGATTCTGAAGTTGTCCCAAAGCCGCCGGAAAGATGACGATGACAAAGTGGATTGGGGTGGTTTGAAGGTGAATGGAAGCTCTGGAACGGCTAGAAAATCACGGAGTGTATCAAGAAGTCGTTCAAGAACTAGATCCCCTCCAAGAAAGCGAAGATCCAGATCGCGCTCAAGAGATCGCTATAGACGTCGAAGAAGTGGATCAAAAAAAAGAAGTCGTTCAAGGTGGTTGATAATACTTTTCGTCATTCAAACTTCTCTAATTTCAGAGATCGATATAGGAGCCGTTCGCGTGACCGCCGAAGAAGTCGTTCGAGGGACAGGAGACGTAGCCGGTCAAAAGATAGAAAACGAGACTCATCTAGAAGACGATACAAAAGCCGAAGCACAAGTAGACGACGTCACAGTAGCAGGAGTAACAGTAGGAAACGTCAACGAGATGATCGACGACGCGATCGTTCTAGAGAAGATAGAAGAAAACGTTCGAGAAGTAAAGAAAGAAAAGAAGAGCAAAAGGCAGTGGTCCCTGAACGTGTTCCTGAACCGAAGCCACTAGTTAAAATTGATCAACCAAGAGAAAGTAGTGGTGATGAAAGCGGATCGGACAATGTTAAAATGTTGGAAATAAGATCGAGTATGTCAGATTCGGAGAAGGAGAAAATAGAAATCGAGAATCGAAAACGTCGTGTGAAATTGACAAAGAAGTTGGTGAAGGAAAAAAGAGGTCAACCATCAGTGCCGAATGATCGTAGTAGCGATGAGGAAGACGAAGAAGAGCAACGTCGAGCTGAGCAAGCGAAGCGAGTCAGAATGCAAATGAGTCAGGCACTGAAGAAAACTAGACAGGATTTGGAAAAGGAGGAGAAGGATCGTAGAAGAGAAGCTGAGATTGCTCAGAAGGTAAGGAATAACTGGATAGTAGAAATTCAAGTCTGATACTTTTAGGTCCGCGAAGAACTTCGCTACATTGAAACACAAGAACGTCGTGAAAGAGAACGAGCTAGGCAGAAGCACAATGAATCCGATATTCCATTGTCTCCTTCGAGTTCGCCCTAATTTATGCACCTTTTTCTATTTATTTTCTCTGTAATAATCGATTACATTTTTTTTTTCAAATGTTTTTATTCATAAAGGAGGTCATCAATTTTTGGGGGATCGTCTTGGAGAAAATAATACATGAAAATGGGTGTGGGGGAGTTGAAGAGAATCTTAGAAAATCGAAGACACAGAAAAATACAAATGATTGACGACGAAAAGACAATAATATTAATACAATTTATTAAAATGCGATCGGTTGGGGGGAGAAAAAAAGCGATACTATGGAAATTGCAGCCGGAAATTAAAAAAGATGACTAGAGTTTCCAATGGAATTGCGATCTAGATTTTTTTGTTTTTTTTTTGAGTTTTTACATGGAATTTTAGACAAAGAAGAAACAAACGGAATGTGCTGAAAATGCGGTGAATGGGGCAGACACACAGGGTTCGAATTCCTGTAGTGTGCGTATGTGCTCTAATGAGAAGAAGCGTGAAAAATTAATTTTGAGGTGGAAAATCAACGAAAAATTGCGAGAAATTTGAATCTACCAAAGGCCTAAAACATAACTTTCTCATTAGAGCGCAACAGCATACCACAGTAGTTCGAACCCTGTGTGGGCAGACTAAAAAATACAGAGCGTTTGTTGAGTGAATTCGGATGTCAGAGAGAAAAATACTGAAATATCAGAAACCGGAAAAAATTGAGTGGCATACGGAAAAATAAGAGGAAAAGGGGGAAGAATTAAAAGTTGAAAACGTGAGAAAAGTCTACAATAGCAAATGCGCTCCGTCAATGGAGCGCATTTGAAGTTTTGGTTCGAAATTCGGGAAATTAAAGCAGATACAATTAAAAGCGTCATCGGGGGAAGAAGATCAAGGGGAGGGGCGATTTTTTGAGAAATCTACGTGGATCTAGATCAAAAAGCTATTAATGGAGCTAATTAGATTCACGTGCGGGGAATGCAAGAGCGCTCTATTGATAATTGGCATAGAGAGCAAAGTCATCACCATAGCTAGTGTTCTAGAACGAACACGTGTGGAATTGAGAAGGAAAAGTGAGAAGATGAGAGAGAAAAAAAAGGGGAAATGAATTAATTACGGAAGCTAATTGAGACCCATCTAAAAGCGACCGATAGAAAAAGAGATTTGGAGACAAAAAATAGTTGCTAGTTTAAGGGAAATATTTGAGTTAGAACTAGCTTTATTGTGGAGCATTGGAAGTTGGAGAGCACGAAGATCCTTGTTGTCCAACATGAAGATTGGTTCGGACGGCATTGGAGAATGATGGAAGGTTTCCGGTCAAGAAACTTTTTGGTCCTTTTTGGTTCACCTGGAAAAGGGAATTAAAATTGCTCAGCTGATAGCTTTGGTTTTGGTCCGTGGGGCAAGGGATAGAAGATAAAAAGCAAACAAAAGAACTTCTCAAAAATCTGAATTCGAAAATTCAAATTAGTGAGAAAGTCCCCAAGAAGACAGTGCAAAGGAAAGACAAAGCAAAAAATCAAGACTTTTTCACCCGGAACACAACCTTCAAAATTCATGGAAGCCGTGCATTTCGTGAGCTAAATCAAAAATGAAAAGAACATGCTGTTGGAAGATTTTAGAAACTCAGAGAAAACAGCAGACAGTACAGTGACAGGACAGAGTGATTAGTGGCAACTGTGTGAGAGAATCTTCATGTAATATGTGTGGACGTGACCAATGTAACCAGTGACGAATTCAGAAGGACAAAGGACAAGATGAGCGTTGAATGGGTAGAATTCAAAAGAGAGGACTATCAAGGAAGTAATTGAAATGTTTCAAATCTCAATTTTATGTATCGTAAACACTAATAGAACGTCACTTATAACTTTCAACTTTGAGCCAATTTATCTCTGTTCCTGTGAAAGATATGAAAAAGTAGTCACCTGACAAAATATTGTTGACAATATAATGAAAATTTTGTCAGTTGAGTACTTTTTAATATTTTTCACAGGAAATGAGATACAGTACCGGTCAATAACATATACAACAACATATTTTTTTCCAGTTGATTTTGGGACATTGACCATTTTCAGAAGTCTAAAGCTCGGCTGTCAAGTTTTCAATTCCTTTAAAACTTTGGAGCTTTTAAAACAGTCCTAGATTGGCAACTTTGCATTCGCAGAATTTTTTGACGATTCCTATTTTTTAACGAATTGCCGATTTCTGAAAGACAACTTTTTTCACGTTTTCAGTACAAAAACGGTCAAAAAGGGGTGTTATTCAGAAATCGGCAAATAGCTGAAAAACTAAGAATTTTCAAAAAATTCTGTGAATGCAAAGTTGTCAATCTAGGTCTGTTTTATAACCTGCAAACGTTTCAAAGGGATTGGAAACTTGACAGCCGAGCTCCCGACTCCCGAAAATGGTCAAAATCCACTGAAAAACACGTTTTTGTACATCTTATCGACCGATACTGTATATAGGCTCAAAAAAGTTAAAAGTTTGGGGTGCCGTTTTATTAGAGGGTTTACAGTCTTTGTTAGTCTTCTCAAACGACTTCTAATTCATCCGACACTCTTTCTCTATCATTATTTTGATGAAGGGGCGGAGAGGGCACATACAGATGATGTTGTGGAGGGGCGAGCAGTAGATTCTGGCTCGACGCAGCTCCTCCGGTGGTGAACATTGAAGACGTCGTTGTGGAGGAGCCGTGACCGGAAAGCGCCGAGCCGAGAGATGCGCTCGCATGCAGAGTTTTGTTACTCTGCGCCGAATTCCGCGATATTGTCGAACCGATGCGACGCGACGCCTTGCGAGCGATCAGCGAGGTAAACGTCGTCTGAATCAAAGTTAAGGAGGATGTTTTAGGGTTTTTTTCGGGTTTTTTAAAGGTGGAATAATTGAGAACAGTAGTATGGGTTTGGGTACGGTAGAAGAGTGGACTGTGTTAGTTTGGAGTGGTCAAGTAATTGAGACATGAATGTGGTCGAAATCAGTATGTTAGTGTTTCGAATCAAAAAATAGATATTTTGTAAACAACATGCTTTTTTCTCGCTCTGTTCAATTTTTTAAACTCCTAGGACATATTTCTGAAATTTCAATCATTCAGCGAGCATTCGGGTAAGCTTTCAATCGGAATAGAAATGGGTTGAAAAAATAAAACACATATCTCAAAAAGGGTGTGGAAACATTCAGGGGAAGAGGAAAGGGTGGGAATCAAACTAAGCCGAAACCGGAACTGAAAGGGGATTCAGAGAGATAGAGAAAGATGCAAAATGGGTAGATCAACAGGCGGCACACGGACTTACCTTCTTTCTTGATGTTGACACGAGATCTCTGTAGATTTCCGAACGAAGGAAACGTTGGTAACTGTCATTCTTCATGAGACAGTAGATATGATCCTGAAAACCTAATGATTGTAAAGGACCTATTTTACAGTAACCCTCACCGCTGCTTCATCGAAGCTCCATCTGTTGGGATTTTTCAAGTTATCCTCGGTAACTTCCATCACTTTACAATCAACATTGACTGGAGACGTGGCAGCATTCGTGTCGATGAACTCATTGTAGATCTCAGTCACCATCACCGGAACCATACGAGAGCTGCATTTACGCAACTTCTGAACCTCCCACCAGAATCGCAAGTTCTCTCCAGAATATTCCTTGTCGAGGAACTTCTGAAGAGTCTCACGACCCAAAGAGTCAGCAAGCAACTCTTCGAAACTGTCTTCCCAAAGCTTGAGCCGACGAGTTTGGATGTCTCCCGTACTGAAATAGAGAAATTATGGAATGAAGGATCGAACAGTATATTACATCTTGTCATGCTGCCAGAAGTCTACTGTATCATTGATCCATGGATTTGGTTGAGATTGGAATGGATCCGCTTGTGACCCTGGAGGTGTTAGCAGAGGATCAAAGACACGGCGTTGTTCATAGTAGGCAAGATAGCTGAAATAGATATTTAGCTTCTGAAACAACTCTCATTAATCTTACTTCTCCACAACTTTCGAAGTCCGCAACACGTTCTTTGATAACCTGCTATTCAGTTGACAGATTTCCAGTTTCAGCGTGTCTTGTACTTGTGTACAACGCCGCAATCCTGGTCGTGCGTAATAGTTATTTCGGAAGGATCCCGCATTGCTCGTCCTAAAAACCCACACTTTCGAAAGAAGTCAATTAATCTTCTGTAAATCTTCACTCACGAAGCTATCGACGTTACTGGAGGCGTTGACGTTGACGGAGCCGAGGTCGTTGCCGTCGCTGCAGACGTTGATGGAGAGTCTCCTCCAGCGGCACTCGATGTTGACGGCTCTTGGTCGTTTTTCCTCGGTGACGTGGCACTTCCATTCGATGTTGATGGAAGACTTGCATGGGCAGCCGCGACGCTTTGCGAGTATTGGGTGCAACCAATGCCCGACGTGGAAGCAGCCAAAGCCGCATGCCCGCCACTACTGTACTTTGGTCGACCAGACCGAGAGAGCTTCCGAAAGTCAACCTCCGTCGTGTTGACACACCCCGGAACCGGACGGTGTACATCCCAGAACGCTCGCTCCTGACTGTCGAGAATCTGACGCTCCTGACGATCTCGCTTTTTGTCCACCCTGAGTGTCCTGGATTTATTGATGCGTAGAATGTCCGAAAAAAGCACGCGCAATGCACACTAATTAGTAGGGGTAGTAGTTGATTGGGGGAGGGAGAAATCAGGAATACGCAGAACGACTCGAAAAGTCGTATGTTATTTTCAATGAACGGAAACATAAAGTATCTCATCGGGGCATTGCCATAATTGTAAAATGGAACTATTAAAAGCGATACAAGAACTCCCTAAATACCTGAACCGAATGATTCCCTACAAACATCACAATCACATATTGAAACTATTCTAGAACCCACTTAGATGTATCACCGGATGTTCCTGCACCATCTTCCTGCTCCAATTCTTTTTCCTTGCCCTTTCTCTTATCGGAGGACTTGGATAGCCTGGAGAAGAATTTACGAATTTTCCCGAACGGGGCCATTCTTCAATAGTTCTGCAGTAGTAGTAGTAGTACCGAACAAGGAAGGAATAAAACAAAGTAAGATGTCAAAAGATGTGGTGGAAGAGATTTGCAATGAAGAGAGAAGGCGTTGGTTGATTAAGTGTGAGAGGAGTGAATGGAATGAGCTCTTTGCCAGTTTTCTCATCTATTCCAGCAGGAAAGGCACCGCCCATTTATTCCTCCTCTTTACCCTTCGGCCTATCCATCTATGCGTCCTCCTCCTTCTCCGACGTCTTCTAGATCATTATTTCCGACTCCCGGGCGCCGCCACGTCGATTTTTCCAATTTACTTGGATTGGCTCTTCGTGGCGCTTCCACACCACATTCACATTCATCTTCTTCTCTTCTTATGGCCCAGTTCTTCTTCTTCTTCTTCTTCTCCTTCTTATTTTTTTCTTATTCTCACCACCATCGCATTCTTCCCCAAAAAACGGAGAAGAAGAAGAAGTGCTTTAGTTGCGCACAAGCTCGTAAAATGAATAGTTCCTCGAAGCTTAATCGGTAATAACAGAGAGAATGGCAAAGAGATAATGGGTGGTACACACCCACACAGAGAAAATGGGCCATTTCATGAAAGTTATGTGGGCGAATCAAACCGGAGAGTGATGGACTAAGTGCTCCACGTAATTGAAGTCAACTTGGGGGACTCTCGGAATGGGGTATACGGTAGAAATCCCATCAAAACTCAACTATGAAGGAAATGCGACGAGTTTTCAGTATTCCAGGGACTGATACCTACGGGGAAGGAGCTACGGTATCCTCCATATTTTTTTGAGAGCTGATTCTGCATCTTCCAGGTTAAGACATCATTCTGAGAAAATAATTTAGAAGAAGTTGAAGATACAGCCACCGTAATAAGAATTGAAAATCTCAAATAATTTGCTCGATTTCCGTACTGTGAAAACCAACGTCGCCTCTTAAAAAAAAAGTGATTTTGGACTTCAAAGAAAACACCATTCGCGTAAAATTACGGTAGGTTCACAGGTGAAGGAGCACTGCCGAAAAACAAAATGAACTAAAGAGGCGCAAACTGGCGAATGACTAATAGTTGGTAGTCGGCGGAGAACCAACGGGCCGTCGACGAACTGTTGACGGACAATTGGAATACCTTGGAGACTGTATTCACAAACCTTCATTCTGTTTAATTTCTGTAAACCACAAAATGCACGAGAATCTATAAAGTCTGCCTGCCAAATTTTGGCAAAACTGAAAATCTGAAAAGCTTATTCTGTAAAACATTGACGGACAAGTTTAAGTCAGATTGTAACCATCAGAGGGGTTGCGAGTTGATATTCTCCGATCGCCCTATTTGAGCTGAATGATCTCGATACCTGTGAAAAATATCAAACATTTGTCAACGCATAAATCATTTATCAAAATATCACCAATATTTTATCAGTTGACAATCTTTTGATTTCTTTCTCAGGAATCGAGATAATCAAGCTGAAAGTTGAAGGCTTGGGTGTAGTTCTATGAGAGAAAATACGATAGAAACAATGGATACGAACTATTAAATACAAAAATGTTAAAATTGCAAGACCAATTATAACTAATTAACCTACTCTCAAAGACATATGACACAAACTACCGTACTCTAAGTCCAACACATCATATGGGCCAATTATGCTTGCTTCAAACAAAGTTTCCTCAGATTCTGTTCTTATTTTGGGAATGCTGAAACCCTCGTTGATTGCCTTCGTTAGATTTACTTTTTTCTCAAATTGACTAGACTAGTTAGTTCCCTCGTTATCGACTAATTTTCCTCATCTAAAAGAACTACATGATGTTGTTTCCGATTTTCTAAACTTTTTTTCTTTCGAAAATTGATACTGCCTTCATCCTGCTTCTTCCCTCCCTCCTTTTTCCCCGTTCTTGACGTCATTCACGAATTCACACAATGTAAGTGGATAAGTTGGTGGAAACTGAGAAGCTGTTGCACTGCAAACTAGTGCGAGCGCCGTCCCGCTAGACGCGAATACGAGAAGAAAAAACACACGCAGTCAGTACTGCAATTGCCGCAAAAAAAACGGAAAGGAAAATCACAAACTTGTATTGAGCCTCAGCTTGCATGAAGACGAATTCCCATTTCCGAGAGAACATCTTCTGAAGTTTGGCCAGATTTTCAGCTTCAAAGTCTTCAAGCTCCAGATGCGCCTTGTTTTGCATCGTCCGTTTACACAGGTACACCGCTGAAAAAGATGAATTTTGAATTCTAGAACACTGGCAGGAATTAGAAGAAATGTCTCGTCCCCAAAGCTGTCGGATACAGGTCATAACATTTTTGTTAGGACACCTCAAGGATAAGTAGAATTAGGCGGACCAGAGGTCCTAGAAGTTTTTGGCAAACTGAGCTCATGTCCAAAAGAAGGGACATGTTGCTCCACGGCAGCCTACACATGGCCCAGACCAAGGCCAAGGCCGGCAGCGGCCCTTTTTCCGACAGTTTTACTCATCCATGAAACTTACCGTAGTCAGTGTTTTCCGGGTCCCAACAATTCGATGGCCAAAAGTAGGGCGTTTGAAACCGATAGAAAGTTCCATCGTTTTTAACCGTCAACACGTGATCGTCGATTTGAAACAGATACCCATGAGATGCTATCAGATGAGCAAGATGAAGTGCATCGGCTATAATAAAAATATGCTTCTCGAAAGTCTCCCTAAAAGATAACACTCACAAAGATCCGTCATGTCCAGGTTCTTCATAATCCATCCTATCAGATCTTGCCCCGTAAACACTGATGGAACTTTGGACAGAAAGCTCTTGACGGTCTTAATCGGAACGCCGGCTTCCGCGTCGAGCATTTGGTTGACGAGCATCTCCATCTTTCGGTACACCATATGATTCGGATGCACAAGGCGTTCCTCGTTGCTTGCGTTCACCCTGAAAATGATTGATGTCACTGAGAAAATTCTCTATTTTAGTGTGTTCTCTATGGAAATTTTCGGAGGCTGCGTTGTTCATGGTAACCCGAAAAAACAGGGGTATCACTCGACTCCGATAAAAAATGGGATCGCATGTATCGCGTCATGTCTCAAGTGGATATTCCAATATAACAACATAGCTGTGTCTGGTCTACGGTAGATGTATCCTGATCTACTCTCCTCTATCCCACAGGGTTCGAAACGTTGTGGTATGCTGTTGCGCTTCAATGAGGTAGTGACGTGGCGAAATTTTAGGTCGTCAAAAATTCAAATATCTCGCAATTCTAGTTGATTGTCTACATCAAAATTAATTTTTCTCATTAAAGAGTAACATCATACCACAAATATTCGGACCCTGTGCTATCCTACAGTAACCATTTCCATTTCATCTAGTATTCATTGACTTCCAGGGTACTCACAATTCACACTGTATCATTTCCTTCCCCTTCTTCATTTTGAAAAATTTCCCTTTTTCGAAGAACATCAAAACATCCAGAGGCTCACTTTGCAGTGAGAGGAAACAACACACAAAGAAGACGAAAAGTGAGAAGGCTGTCCCAAAAAAAACCTCTAAAAGCAGTCCAGAAGCCTGTGGCGGAAAGAATATACACATAGACAAGAACGACAACAACAACAAGAAAACAGATGAAAAAATGAGAAAAGAAAGTAGGAGAATAGAGGAAGCGGGAACATAAAATATTACAGCTCTTCTCGTTTTCTTCTCTCTGCTGTTCTTTTTTTGTGAGTTCCACACATGAAGGAGGTCCTTCCCCATCACCACCACTTCACGTGATTTTGCTTTACTTCTGGGACTATCAGAAAAAAAAAGAAGAATCTCAAACACTTTTTTGGTCATGTTTTTTTTTCTTGGATGCTCTGGGAGCCACCATCGTCATAATCACAAATTGCTTTTGACCCCTCTTACCTCTTGAAAAGTGGCATTTTTGTCCAAAAGAGCGCCCGCTTTCAACCGCTGTCCGCTTTAAACAAGTTTTCAGTAGGAATGAGAATAGTTATCTTTTAAAGGGATATGATGAATTTTTGTACCCACAAAAAGTGAATAAGATAGACGTCTGGAAGAATGTCTTCGAGAAGAAAAGAAGCAAGGAAAGGAGATGTATTCTTCAGGCGTTTATATGTAAATGAGAATTTGGCTCTGTTTGGGATTCGGTGCCCGGCGACCGATGAAAAATGAAGGACACCGAACGACCAAATTGGCTCAGTGGCATCGGAAAGAAAAAAGAGCACGCCTTCTTTTCTTTTTCTTTTTTTTGCGACGTGCCTTCTCGTTATATGTCATTGAAACATGAAATGAAAATTGCCCAAATTTTGTAGGGTTTGTTCGTAGAAACGGATGAAACACCCCGATACATAATAACGAATGTATGACACTTTTAATTAGCGGAATAGACAATTTTTTCCGCAGTGAGTGGCCAAACTAAGAAAGAAACAGAATAAGAAATATGTTGAAGACCTACGGTATCATAAATTTCTAAGGGCAGGGGAACTTGTGGCTTTCAGAAGAACTGAAATGGGAATTATAAAAGGTTTCGAAATACGGAAGTCGAGAAGATGTAGGTCCCTAGTTATATTTCGAAACGCTTTCTATTTCTTCAATGACTAGCAAGCTACAATATTACTTTTTGAGCCCGGGATTCCCGAACACTGAAATCGACTGACTCGAAACTAAGAACTCCGCTGCAAAGTTTTTCATGTACTAAAAGATTCCGACGGGTTTAGTGAGAACAATGGATGAGAAGAAAAAGGAAAAATGAAATATAAGAGTGAATTATAACCCAACAATCACAAAGTCATAATACCTCCAGGAGGACCAAATCCTTCGCCAGAACGAAAAAAACCCAAGAGAAAAAAAGTATCGGCTGAAGGATTACTGTAGTTTTATTGAGGTTTCAAGGACCAGCATAAAAATTCGGGTTACAGTTCCTGAAGTATGCAAGGGTTCAATTCAAGCCATAGATTTTGATTGAACATTATTTGTATCAAACTGAACATTATTTGTATCAAACTAAGTAGGGTTATCCAGCAATTCAACAAAAAACACAAATAAAACTTTTGAGATTAGAAGAAGAACAACATGAGTTCGAACTACCGTAAAACCTGTAGCATAATATTATATGTAGAAGGGCCCTCTAAATATACTGTAAAGTTTGAGGTAATTTTTCTTGGCTCATACGCAACATATCAAAAATGAGTCAGCTGATAAGATTCTTGTTATATTATGATTAACAAGTTATCAGTTGACAACTTTATTATGTCTTAACTGAGAAACATTGGCTCACGTTAGAGGTTAGGGGCCATTATATTACAGGTTTTACAGTATGGTATTTTTGGCTCCGCGTCACTTCACAACCAGTCTATTCAAAATCGGACAATTTAAAACCGCGGCAACGAGCGAATGAATGAATTTCAGAACTTATTTGAAGACTCGGAAATTGTTTTCGTAGTTTGAAATTTATCCATTCGCCTGTATTACCACGGTTTGAAATAACCGGTTTCGAAATAACTGGTTTCGAAGTGTCGCAGTTTCGAAGAGACGCGGAGCCGTATTTTCTTGTTTTGCTTTGTTGTAGCCTTTGAATAACCCGAGTTCAACAAACTGTTCAAGTGTTGATTCAGCATAATACCTAGTTTTCAAAAATATTTTTTGAACTCTTTCATCTTTTTGCAAAATATTCAAAATATTATTCTTCTCCTTTTTTGGTTCATTTGAAACAAGTCAACTGATTATCAAAAACATGATAATGACAGGCTTTGAAGAACGTTTCTATTTTTTATCATCAACACTTTGAATGCACCCTAGTTACTTTCAGTTCTTAGAAACTTGGGAATGAGCCGTTCAGAATTATAAAAAAAAGAAGAAGCGGATATGAATATGTCAGCTGATTTAACACACAGAAACTTCAGCTTTAAATATAACTTTTCTTCTTTAGAAAACTAACAAAATACTAGTGTCCGAGAACGTTCTTAATTCTAGGTATTTTTATTGGTGACTGACAAATTTCAGGTTATGCAAAACGGTACGCTTTGGAAATCACAACCAAAAGTTTGGATTTTTGAAAACAAACTGGGATGTTTCAAAAAAAATCATACTCTACTTTTTCTACTGTACAAAAAAGTTAACATAGAGTTCCATTAATTCACAGGTCTACAGTAATTCAATAAAAGGTTTTGAAAGTTTTATTATATGGCTTTATCAGTTTATTTTATTTTTCAATTTATTTTTTTATGTGCTGCAAATTCGTATTTTCTAGGGAAATCATCATTGGGCGGAACCTAGGGAAGAGGTATACTGTTAGAGAAATGAAAAAAAGAGTTTTGAGGAGGATTTTGACAGTTTCAGATGTTTAAACAGAAAATTCCGAACAATAATGGAATTCAAAACCAACCTTAGTCTTGGAAGAGCCATTTTATGGAGCCTTCAAACTTTTTTATACAACTTCCTCAATGTCCGTTTCCAGTTGCTCCTATTTTCTTCTTGAGATCGTCGTCGTCGGCTCTCACTTTGGCACGTCGTCCTCTTCTACTCCTTCATTCCTCGCCCAGAATCCGTGGTGTTACCGTGCAAGACTTCGGTGCAAGGCGAACAAATGGAACGACAGAAAGTCTACAAAAAGAAAAGAGCACGTTTTTGTATTTTGTCCAAAAACGGGACACGGCAACAAAAGGGACAACACACAGTGACAAGGGACATTGGGAGAGATCAACAAAAATATTAAGATGAGATCGAGAGAGAAAAAGAGAAGATGATGGAAGTATAAGGAAGACGAAGAAGGATGGAGAATAAGGAAAAAAGAAGAAGAAACGACAAGGAAAAGGAGACGATGGAGACTCTGCACATCACGTATAGGGCACAGAGTGAGCGTGGATGGGTGAGTGAGCGAATGTGAGTGAGTGAGAGTCGAATAGAGGGCGAGTGTGCCATAGGGGAAAAAGGAAGAAAAAAAGAGAGAGAAAGAAGAAGAAGAAGAAAGGGAGAGGATGAAATTCGAGACTCGAATCGAATACATACACACATTGAAAAAAAAGAGAAAAGGGTAGGAGGAATTGAAAAAGAGCCTGAAATGGTATCAACAGGCACCGGTAATCGGGGTGAATGATCTCTAATTACTGATAATAATGATAAGAGGAATAGCTAACGAGCAGAATTGTCGGACTCGGTTACTGATGGGAAGGAGCCTCTCATTGAAAAAAGCTCTGAAGAGTATTTATAAGATCAAGAAGAAAAAATGAGGATGATCAAGAAGAGAATGGTTAGTAGTGTCATGTACTAAAAAGAAAATGTTCCTGAAAGTGTGTTCAGGAGTTTGTGTTCAAAGTTCCGTGCTAGAAACTATGAATAGGTTTTCAAAGAGATTGCAGATCATAAAAGTGAACATGAGAAGTGCAACACTTCGGCATTCCAATGGAATATCTCTTGTGATAAAGAAATATTTAAAAGTCTAGAAGGATCAGAAATCTCCCAGACAGATTAAAATTGTGCGAGATTAATGGAAGTACAAAAGGAGTTTAAACTGAACATTCAAATGCAATAGTGCACGAAATTATGGTTTTCTCACTATGTGAGACTAGAAACCATACTTGTCACTGGCGGGTTAAAATTTAGAAAAAAAAATCCGGGGAGATTCTAAAATTCAAAATTCGGAAGCTTTTTTGAAAGTTCAGGAACTTTTCTGTGGGGTCGAAATCAAAGAATATTATCTCAAGAATTTTCAGAAAATCAGCTACCCGGAATTAGACAAGTCTGCTAGACTAAACAAGGCCAAGTTTCTTCAAAATTTCCAGAAGTTCAAAAGTTTGCAAATTCGAGAATTATTAAAAGTTTTAGACCACTTGCAAAGTCATTAATATTACAGAAAATTGAATACATTTCAGAAAAGTGAAAGAGCTGAAAGCAATCAGTAGTATTCTTTAAAGGTGGTAGGATATTCAAATAATGTGAATAGCTTCGAGAACAGATTTTGTACCACATACGCCTGCGAGAGGGTGCTACCAAACGGTTTCGGCCAGTTCATGAGATAATCCACTGTCTTTAAATATCCAAATATGCTCAAAAAACTTTAAGAAATGGAAATTTAGTCTAACACACGATTATTTCAAGTTACTTATTTAGGAACGAATTGAAAATTACAGATCGATATCGAATCACCAAGTTCTAATATTTTAAAATTCGCAGAAAAAAAGACAAAATACCAGTTTAATAGATTCAGAACGACTTTTTTTAGTATTTCAAATTTCTAAATTTATGAATATTTTCTTCGACTCCACATACCAAAAATTATGTCAGTCATAAAAAACGGGTGGAAATTTTTTTGAAAAAAAAAATTAATTAAAGTTAGCTCTTATTCTCTTTCTCTCTCGCTGAGCTAGTCTCTTTTTTTCAGTTAAAAATATGAAGACAATGGGAATAAACAATCAACGAAATCGAATCGAGTTCTATATCAGAAACGTCGACTTTTCTCTTCTTTCCATATAATAATATTTTTGCGAGCGTAACGGAGTGGTGAGAAAAAAATGTGTGTGCTGCGGTGTAGTGTCTCATAGATGTTGAAAAAAAAACAGAAAAAGAAATAATAAAAAGCCCAGAAATTATCCGACTGCTGTAACTACTGCAGGATGGGTAGTTAACTACATACGATATTGCGCAGACCGGAAATTAAAATGTATGGTTATTGTATAGAGAAGACACCGGAAATTGAGAATGGGGTATTCTAAGAAGACGTCAATCTTCAGAATCTCATCAATTATATAAAATAAAATACCGTAGTTCTAGACAAAGAAGTTTAATTAAATGAGGCATGTGCTAAAAATAAGAAAAAAATCAAATTAAAAATCAGAAGACGTCGTTCTAAAATTGAGAATTTACTTTGGGAATCTTGGAATGGAAGAATAATGAAAAAAGTTTTTATTTGTTTCAAGGGCTCGCACACCAAGAATAGATTCATCGCAACAAAAAAAGTTTTCCAAAAAAGAAAAAAAATATTTTAATAGGGATCAGATTACCGTACATTTTCAATGTCCCCCATTGCATAGATGTGGGCATATTTATGAAAACAAAAATCGTACAATTTTATATTTTCAATTTCAAAGAGCAGCTACAGTCTCTTCACAAAAATTGTTTGTTTTTCTTTTGACACGGCGACTAAAAGATTATGAAAACAATGAGGAGGAGTTGTGTTCTTTTTGTAAATGCACTCAATTTGACGGTAGACTTCATTTCGCTCTTCTTTAGAGGCTCTTATGATTAGGGGGATATGTAAACATAGCATGTTCCCAAAGTGAAGAGTAGTAGTAGTGGCCGAAGGAAAGTGGTACAAAAATTAGAAAAAAAGTGGATGGACGAGATGAAAGACGGATTGGTAGAGTAAAGAGAGTGGAAACAAATCTATCAAAAGACTTTTGAGAAAGGAGAAAAAAGAGGACGATGCCCTCTCTGCGTCTCTTTTTTTTGAAAAAAAAAGAGTTTTGAATGCGATGCCAATGGGGCGACGCAAATGAGTTTGAAAAAAGTCTCCTACAATTTAAGTTTCAGATATCGTGTCATATAGATAGGGTGAGTAGGGTATCTTGGGACGGCTCGGTTTTCTGGAAGCAGCTTTTTTTCCAAAAGAACAGACATAGACACAAAGACGAGGAATTGATTAAAGCGCCAAAAACAGCCTGCGGCGGCTAGCGTCGAAGACGGGGTGGAGCTCCTCTTCCGAAGGGAGAAGGATGAGGAGGAGGAGAGCTCGGGGCTGCAACGAAGAAGAAGAAGAAGGAGCGAGACGGGAGCCAGGGGGCAGCCAGTAGAAGTAGCACAGCCACGGAGCCGAGGGAGAGAAGACCACGCAAGGACCCATTGATTTTCGGGGGGGGGGGGCACTCTGAGCTCTCTCTTCTTTTTCCCCAGTCAGCACAGCTCAGTGGAGACTTCACTATTCTCTCTGGACTCTCTTTTCATCTCCTCTTCTCTGTATACATATTCCACATCTAGATTCTAGAGAAGAAGAAGAAAAGAAGAGAGATGTTATTCCGTCCTTTTCTTCTTCGCCCCGTCTTTTGCCCGTCGGATTCCCCCAGCGATGGTATATTCCCTTTTGTTGTCTGTTTCTCTTCTCAAGGAATTCTATTCCCACCGGCACCCCTACCCGTCTTTCTGGGGGTCGCCAACTCCTCGGTACATGTCAAAACACCGGCCTTTTCTCTTTTCTCTCCACCTCTCTACTTCTCTCTAAATTCACAGACACGGCGACCCTCTCTTTTCAGGTACACGACCATAATTTTCCTCGCACCCTCGAACCACCGCTTCTTCTTCTTTCTCATTTTTCAACAAATTGGCGCGTACTTGTTTTACAACCTTATAGTTAAAAGTTAGCACTCCTCCTTTTTTCTGGATTTTTAAGGTTGCTGACTTTAAAAGCTCCCTTGTTTCTCGCTTATCAGTTTGTTCTCATTTACTCAAATCTATCACTTTTGCCTCGTTATTGACAATTACGTAATGATCTTTCGGTCAGTTCTTTTCACTTTTCAATCTTTTTGGTTCGCCCAATCCTCATATACGTAGTCCTTGTGGTACTAATTGAACAGGTCACAATTTCTCTTTTTAATTGATATTATTGATGGCCTAAAATTCGTTAATGAGTGTTTGACTTTCTTTTCAATAGTTTCTCTGTAAATTATCTCAGAAAATCATTGTATCAATCACTAAAAATATGGTGCTTTCGCTTTTTTTATTTTTAACAATTAGAGTTAAATTTATTCAGTACTGGCTGTATTTTTCAAATATTCCAACTGAAAATACAGTTCCCTTCTTCTTCTTTTGGAAATTTTTCCAATCACATTTCCACCCAAAAAGTGTGAAAACGCTGACTCAAAAGCCAAACAAACTGTGGCTATAATTCTCCAAGTTTCTACTCTTCTCCCCATTTCCTTTGCAGGTCATATGACCGTTTACTCGCCGATTCTCGAACTTTTCGTGTACTAGAATTTGTAGTTTGAGTGTTTAGGAAACAAGGAACTGCTCTAAAAATGTGGGTTTTGTACACAAAAATATGAGAGATGAGTCATAGAAAAAAGAATGAAGAACATATGAAAAACAAAGCAGTTATCATTCTGCTTCTTTTTGTTTTCGTTCAGTGCAATCTTATTAAAAATTGTTCAGCCTGTCAGTGGATGGAATATTGTTTTATTTTCCTACAGTTTTTAGCATTAAGAATGTTGAATATCTTAACGATTTTTATTTTTTGCAAAAGATGGAAAAAATGTAATGAATATACCTGAAAACCTGTAAAAGAAGGCCCCCTATTTTATCAACTTCGATCCATTTTATCTCGGCTCTTGTAAAAGATATCAAAAAGTTTTTAACTGATAAATTGTTTAAAATAATATCAAAAATATTTTTTAATTGACAAAATTTTAAAACTTTTTACAGGAATCGAGGTAATTGAGCTTAACTTTAACGAGTTTGGTGGGCTTCTATTAGAGGAAATACTCGTAGTATACAGATGATTTTTTCGACCCCCTTAACCAAATGGGGGCGGAGTCTGGGTCTTGAAGCCCCGCCCCCATGTGGTTAAGGGGGTCGAAAAAACCATCTGTATACTACTAATACTGTAAAGGGAAGGTTCGAAGGGTCCTTCTATTACAGGGAACCTTCAATTAGAGAAGCCCTTTTATTCTTCCAGCCATGTTTTCTGAGAATTTTCATTAAAAAAATTGGTGAATTTTCGTGCGAAATTCATAAAAATGTATCAATCTTTCACAATCAAGCAAGTTTTTGAACAAAACAACGTTTCTCAACAGATTTTGGTGAAATTCTGGAATTCCGGAATTTTTTTCACTGAAAACGCTCGGAAATTTTATATTTCCAACTAAACATTTTAAAGAGAGCCTTCTATTACAGGGGCACTTCTATTTTTCCAAGCCCCTTTCGAAGGGACCTTCTATTAAAGGAGCCCTTCTATTACAGGTCTTACGGTATATTTGATTTAACTTAAGAATGAGAAGTTTTCTAGATTCTTTTAGCGAAAAAATTTTATTGAACCCCCTACCTACTATTTTGAACCGTTTTCTATCCTGGAATTTTTCCAAAAAAGTTTGGTTTTGATTCTTTGATTTCTTAAGCTTTCTAAAAGTTTTTAATTTTTCAACTTATGAAAATGGCAAAACTTCCTTCTTCCCAGTAAACATCATCATATTCTTTCTTCCATTTTTCCCTAACAATTTCTGAAAGAAGAGAAACGCTGCATGTATCGATGACCGAAAGGCAAACAAACGAATGGTTCCACCGGGTCTCCCGTGTGCCGCTCTCACAAACTTTTTTGCCCAGCCCCGGTCGCCCAATTTTTCGGCCCGTTCGATAGATAAGTCTCTCGTTCTTTTCTGTCTCGATAAGTTGCTATAACCGATTGAAGAACAAACGTGGCGGCGATGAGAAGAAAAAGTGGTGGTGAAAAAAACGAGAGAAAAATGAGTGTGTGGGGCACAAAAAGAACAAACAACAAACATTGTTTCAAAGCTGATTGGACCACCGCAACCATGCAGATGTTCTTTGTCGCCTTCCACATGTGTTTTTTATCTTCTCCTTCTTGCTGCGTCTTTTTAAAAATTTCGTTTGGGTTCATCTCACTGCCCCGTCGTCATCGATTCTTATGAGGTTTCCTCAAAGAAAGTTTTCATGACTTTGTGAACTTGTGACATCCAGTTCTTAGTAGTGGCAATCAGGTTGTGATGTTTTAGATAATTTCCGAGTTATCAATATTTTGTTTTTCTGTAGTTTTCATGCCCGTATCTTGTTGATGCTCCGTGTCATTAACAAAAAAAAGTTTGTTGACCATTTTTGACACATCTGAGCTGTAATTGTACAATTTTTTCTGATAAACTAGCGAACAATTTTTGAGAAGTTCTCAGATTTTTGATAATCCAACTGAAATAGGGTTCCGAAAGGCATGGTCAGAAATCGAGGTCCAGTTAACTTTTAGGTCGGCGCAATTTATGACCATGACTCCTGGAACCCCGTGCAAACGAATTTTTGTATTATAAACTATTCAGTTTGGCTTGGTCTTTATGTCACCTTTCATTATGTTCCATATATCACACCATCTTAACTTGGCTAGCTGGCTCCAGTGGGTCTTAAAGCTTGTGTTTGTTTTTTCATAATTTCGAAACTTTCTGATTTGAACTTTATCACTGTTTTTAACACCACTCCTTGTGTCTCTATTTCTAGCCTCGGTCACTATTTTTTCTCAGCTCTCCCTTGTCTTCTTATCATCTACTTGGCAACTCCACCTCTCCGTCTCTCTCACTCTCTTGCTCTCCAACTCAACCATTTATGTGCTCCTTCTCTGCTCCGATGGATGTTTTCATCTCGTCCATCTCTCTATGTCTCTTTCCGTTCCCAACTCTTTCTGGTTAATGTTTGATCGATTATTTATGTATGCAGTGATATTCTAATCGCCTATCACCGAAAAAAAGTGAAAAGAGTTGAGTATGTTTCTTTTCGATAGGGAAAAACCCGGAAAACTAGTATTTTTGTGTATCTCTATTCCCTTAAAATTTCCATATTCTGGTCATAGATTTGTGTCCTTGTTCTAGTGACAAAAAAGGTCTTCTGATTGACCTTTGAATGTGATTGTTTTTAGTTGGTCTCCTCCCACACAGCTTGACGCAAATTGAGCAGCAATCTGAAGTGTTTCTAAATACTTGTCTCCTTACACCGTTTTTTTTTCTTTCTATGAGGAACACTGCCTTGCGTCAGTGTCCGTCTTCGAAAGTCACGTGATTCGGAAATTACAAGATTTCTGTCTCCGATATTTGTCGGAAACAAAGCAAAACTAGACACTCAAAAATACGATTTTTAACCTGAAAGCTTGACTGACCATAATATTACTGTATGCCTATATTTGCACTTTGAGCTCATATATCTCGGTTCCTGTAACAGATAGCAAAAAGTGATCAACTACCAAAATGTTTATGATAATTTCAAAAACATTTTGTCAGTTGACAACTTTTTATTATCTTTTACAGGAACCAAAATAAATTGACTCAAAGTTCAGGTATAGAATGACCTTCTTTTAGACTGTTAACGATTACTCTTGAATTCTTATTTCTTTTGTTCTATTAACTTTTTAACTACAGTGTCCTCCATCCTTAAAACTTTTTTTTGCAGATGGCAGTTCACTTCTGGCACTGAGATGATCCGAGAAGCAGTGCTAACCAACAACGGTCCCTGAAGAACTCTATCTCTCTCCGCAAATTCTTTTTTTTCTGCTTTTGTCTGTAAACACATCATCACACCCATTTCAATTCTCTTTCACACAAAAACTGGAAGTGAATATGTCGATGAAGTTTTTGACGGGTCTACAGGTGAGGAGAATCGCAAAAAAAAAGAGACAAAACGTCGAGCCTCTTTTTACTGTTTTTCTTTTGTTGTTTTTTTTGCAATAGACTGAAAACGTTCCCCGCTATCACAACATAGTTATATTCAACTCTTCTTTCAGGACCTTCTCGGCCTGTACGAAACGGGTACCGCCGCTTCCTCACCGGCATCCCCGATTCCTCCAACGTCTCCGTCGATGTTCGCCACACCTCCTCATCAGCAATCCCACTCTTCAGCAACTTCTGTGCGAAAAAAAGTATGCCAAGAAGCCAACAGTTCTGCTGATGATCCCGATAGTGACGCTCGTATTCGACAGTGTTCTCACACAAGAACCGTATCCTTCCCAGCTGATATTGGACTGATTACTGGATACCACGATGCACCTTCCGCTTTATTCCATTCAATAGAAAATTCGAATCGATCTATTGACCCAACTGAAATTCTAAAATACTATCGTGAAGCATGTCAGAGAAGACAGTGTGCACCAAGTGTAGGAGTCGAAAAGCAGATTGGATACTTCCATAAGAGTCCGGATACTCGACAAGAGTTGTTGAGCTTGAAAGGAGAACGTGTATCCCATGCACAAATGGAAGCTTTGGAAGAAATATTCAAACGCGTCCAGTTCAATACCATCGACTTTGAATACACATTTTTGGATGATGATGTGAGTTTTTTAAAATCAAAAACTTCAAATAAATGTTCATTTTCAGTGTGCCATCTCTCTTGGAGAAATGATCGAGTTTTACGACTCGTGTGTCCGTTTGAATCTATCTTTCAATAAACAAATTGATGTGAGAGGATGGGCAGCAATGTTCAAATCGATCCGAAACGCAATCTCCCTTCAAATGCTAAACCTACGATACACGAATCTCAATGATCGATCTATCCCATCACTCTGTAAATTGGCTCGAGCTCAGCCGTCAGCTTCCTTGACTTGCATTCATTTGGAGAACACTCAAATGTCTGGGAAAAACCTACTGGTGCTGATTTGTGCATTAAAATATAACACAGGGATTCGAGAACTCTATCTTGGAGATAACGGATTACAACCCACGGATGGTTCTCATATTTATCAGTTGATTTCTTCCAATACTTGTTTGCAACTATTAGATTTGAGAAACAATAATATTGGAGATTCTGGAGTACGGCACATCTGTGAAGGCCTTAGAAATCGAGAATCTATTGAAAAAAGTGCATTATCTGCTATGGTTCTTTGGAACAACAATGTTACTGGAGCCTCAATGGATAGTTTGGCAGAAGCTTTGGTGGGTTGACAAGGTTCAAAAAATAGAAACTTTATTCGAAATTATTGCAGATGGAAAACACGAAAATCGAAACTTTGAACATTGGAAGCAATAATTTGGGTGTCGAAGGAGTGGCTCGTCTGAAACCAGCTCTTGTTTCCAACTCACATCTTCATCGATTGGGTCTTCAGAATACAGGAATCAACTGTGAAGGTGCCATTATTCTGGCAGAGTGCATTGCTGATAACACTGCACTTTTGAGAGTGGATATAAGAGATAACCCAATCGGTAAGATCATTTTTGCTGTTCAAAATGAAAATCGAAAACTTTTCAGCACTTGCTGGTCTATTGGCTCTTCACTCGGCAATGAAAATGAATACGTCGATCACTCTTCTAAATATTGATGCAACTTGTGTCCGGATGAGTAGTGAGAAGGTGAGTTTTCAATGTAGTAGGTCTCACTATCTAGATTTTGAGTTTCTCAATATTTTGGCACGTTTCCTGCTTTTGATTATGTACCTAGTCAAATTTCGGTTTATATCATGCACGCTTCCCACCTCTAAAAGAACTGACATCATGCTTGTGACGTGGTAATACTCGGTGTTTGCATATCTATAGGTTCGCGAATATCAGGACGAATTCGAACGGTACTTCCGAGAGATTCAAACGTATTGCGATCGGAACAAGGATGATGTGCTCAAAAAACTGACGGTGACGTTTGAAGATCAGGATCATGTTTCGGAGGATACCGAGAAGGAAAATAAGGATGCGGACAATGATGACAAGGAACCAGAGAATGAAGACGGAGGTAAGGTTTTGAAATAGGGATTCTGTATTTCAAGTCTTTTAACTTTCAGATACCACCCCTGAAACTTCGGATTCTGATGCGTCAGCAGATCAAAGCGACTCTCCGGCAGATAAAGAAAAATCGGAGAAATCCAAAAAAGAAAACAATAACAACGAAAAGCGGCCATTGATGGCATCTGCGTCGACATCCAAAGTATGCCAGAAAGAAAGACATCAACGTTTTGTGAGGAGTTCGTCACTGACTTGTGCTGAAACTGTTCATGACATACATGATCGGTTACGAGAAATGTCCGGATCCACTCATTCCTTGGATGCTGCAATGTCTGCTGCAACAACCTTATCGCCTACTATGTTGACTGCAACTTATGGTTCAACACCCGGACCATTGGATGCTTCAAGCAATACTGATTCGATGAAGACTATTAAAAAAACATTTACTGTAACATCGGCAGCTCCTCCAACTCTTGCACTAGCTGAATGGGGATCCTTACCTGCTTTACCACAAGCTAGTCCAACATCCACTCCAGTTGTCAGAAAGCTTCGACGGTTCTCGGTTTCTCCATCATCCAGTGTGTTTGATGTTGCTACAACGTCTTCTGCCTCAACGTCTCCAATACCAGAAGTAACTGCATCTCCTCATCCAATCCGTCCTTCCACACTTGCCATCGGAATCCCGGTTACTGGTAGTGTCCCAGCGGGTCCGTCTTCTGCGCCCATGATTTTTGTGGATCATCACACGGAGGCTGCATCTCCTGACTGTACAAATACATGCGAAGAACCAACGACGTCAAGAGAAGCAGAGAGAAAACGTGCTGAAGAAACGATAAGGCAGAGGAGAGGACAAAAAGAGATCAAGGATACATGTCGAGCAGTTATCAATGATTTGCTCAACTATGTAGAATACGAGGAAAAATCGCAGGTTGAGAGGAAGGCATCTTTACTTCTTCGGAATGCATTCAGTCGGCCCAACCCAGAAGAATTGTTGAAAAATTTACAAAGAGCGGAATCCCCGCTGACTCCAAGAACTCCAGTGACACCATCCAGGTAGGAATTTGTTTTTTTTTTGCCAAATGTTAATCGTGTCATTTCAGAGTGCTGGAGATAGCCGAAGAGCTCGAAGAAGAAACCGACGAGCAAGTGTGCCAATCAGTAGTCCGTTGTCTGGTTCGAGACGTTCTCCAAACAGAGAAAAACGAGCTTCGATCAACTCTCGATCGTCGTCGAAGACATAACAGCGTCAGAAATTCACCGGTTTAATTTTGAATGATCTCTTCATAAAAAAGACCACCACCACTTCCAAAATATGTACAGTTAATCAATTTCTTTTCGCTCTCATCAACACTCCTTTTTGCTTTAAATCTATGTCCTGTTTTCTGGAAAAAAATGCAATACGTGATTGGTTTCTCATTCGGTTAACTCTCTTCCCCTTTCATCCTCTCTTATTTAATTTAGAAGAAACAACTGTTTTATGGAACATTACCTTAATTTTTTGCGTTTCGAAAACTATGTTTTTTTGTTGATAGAAATAAGAAACAAACGATGCGCTGATTATTATGATTGTCCCACATCTTCTTCTTCCATTCCTTCTTATTTTTATCCGACCCAGATTATTTGTTTTTTTTGTTTTGTATATCTTCTTATCATCCAACCATGTATAGATTTAGACATTTTTTGAATAGTTTTAGTTACCCACTTCTCTTCTTTTTATCTCGTTATTTCACTTGATTTTTTTATACGCCATCGGTATGCAAATGGTGCTCTTGTGAAGCGCATTTTCAGCCACCCTTTTCCTCCCCAAACAACCGAAACATAAACAAGTACTTATTGTATATATATAATCCTTTCTAATTACTGAAAATACCTCACCTTATTTCCTTTCAATATTTTGACTTTGGACCAATTTTCTTCATTTATCTTTTATTCACTTTTCCCGCCTTATTTATCAAAAATGAAAGTTTTGTTTTATTATACTTACAAGTTGTTTCCTTATCCTCATAGGATGGCACACATTGAAAGAAAAACGGATATTTCAAGAGCTAATCCCTGCTGAGACCTCCTTAGAGACCTCAGCAGCCAATACACGATATTTACTTTTTGTTATCATCTACTCTCACAGTTGTTATCAGTTGGCAGGAAAAAAGTTTTTGGATAGTTGTTGGATCACTTATCTACTCACTTTTTCAGTTTTTAAATTCCAAATAATGTACTTTTTATATGTTTCTGGTTCTCATTTTTATGGTTCCAAGAAGTGGTTCCAAGTACTAGTTACCGTTAAACCTGTATGAGAAGGGCTTGTTTAATAGAACTGCCCCTCTAATAGAAGAGTCCTCCAAGAGTGGCTTGGAAAAATAGAAAGGTCTCTGTAATAGAAGGGTCCTCTTCAAAAATTTGTTGTCTGAAATTAAATTTTCCGTCGTTTCCACTGGAAATAATTCCAAAAAATTCAAAAATATCATCGAATTTTGTTAAAAAGCATATTTTTGCTCAAAACATTGCTCAACTTTGATGACGTTTATATATTTTCAGGAATTTTGAATGAGAATTGATACATTTTTGCTGGTAAATTTCCGAAAAAACTGCCAAAAAGTAGAAGCGTACCTCTAATTAAAAGATCCCTGTAATAGAAAGGCTTGCCGGAGGTACCTTGGATAAATAAAAGGTTCTGCCCTTTTCATACAGGCCTCACGGTAACTCATTTACTGGTTTTTTCCGGTTCTGAAAAAATATCGTAAAACCTCCATTAGAAGGGCCCCCACAGTTTCCAGTTTGAGCTCAATTATCTAAATTCCTATATATGATATCAAGAATGTGTCACCTGACAAAACACTTTTGATATTATGATAAACAATTAATCAGTGGACAACTTTTTCATATTTTTGACAGGAACCGAAAAATTGGTTTAAAAATAGGCTCTTGTATTACAGGTGGTTCCAAATTCAAGTTATATCACTTTGTTGTGAAAATATGCGTTTTTGATTCCTTCAACAGTCTATATGCCATCTGCTACCGTCCTCACACTCTCTACTGTATATTCTGGAGCCTTCTCTGTCCATATTAATGCGCCGCCTCTTAATCCATTCTCCCGCAGGTTAGACAAACAAAGAAACGGTCCATTCTACATATCCCAAGGACCTTCTTTCTGTTGTTGACTGTCTGGTGGGGCACCTAATTGCCATTGCATCCCATTGTTCGATCATATTCCTCGAACATCATTTCATATTGATTGAGGTCTTAGAAAATTTCGAACTTAATAAGTTCGATTCTTTTTCAACAGTTTTACATAGGTAGACTAACAGAGGTATTCTGCTTCCAACTGTGTTTCGTATTCGAAAGAGTATGTAGGTTTTTAGAATCCGTCAAATTTCGAAAAACAAAAGTTGCTAAATTGGTTATGATAATGATGTTCAATTTTCAGCGGAAAACAGTTCAATAAGTATAATCACTTATTTCTCGTTAAACCTGAAAAGGTTCCTTCCTGCGTTTGAATTGTGTTCAATCCTCATTGTGAGAACCCACCAAATAGACATAAATATTCTCTGTCACCACGAAGCTGTCAATAAAAAGTATCATTTCACCTCTTTTTCGAAACCTCGAAATCTTATCCTCATCTTCATCTGAATCGCTCTAACCCATTCCTTCCAACAATCTATCTATCCCTTCGTTCGTTAAACACACACTTACCTTTTGCGGTAGCCTCCTGTAGGACATAGTGTGCGGAAAAAAGAAGCAAGCTTTTCTCCTTCTTGCCCCTTGTTCCAAATATTTGTGATTGTTTCCTCCTCTTCTCTTCTTCTTTTTCTTTTTCCTGACCTTTCATTTTGTTGTATTTGAGCGTGCGCGCACCTCTGCTCCTCATAGGATCCCAGCTGTTCCGAAACAGAGGAAAAAGTCATGAAAGAGCAAAATAAGTTTATTCAAAATTTGCACCTTTTTCCGCGCCTTTTGTTTGTATGTGTACGATCCGATTTGATTTGACTCCTCGCAAACTCACGATGATTCTGATCTTAGTCGATTGTTTGATTGAGTTTGGAAAATTATGGAATTTCGATTTTTAGTTGTTGCAGTTCATGTTGTTCTAGTTGTTTCAGCTGGAATGGAACATGCAACTTCCGTAAAACTGTAATAGAAAGACCTCTGACTTTTAACTTTTGAGTCAATGTATCATGGTCCCTCTAAAAGATATCAAAAAGTGGTAAACTATCAAAACGTTATTAAGGATATCATGAATATCCTTCAGTTGGCCACTTTTTGATATCTTTGACAGGAAAAAAGATAAATTGCCTTAAAGTTAGAAGTCAGGGGGTTTCACTCGTTAGTTCAGCGTCTAACCAGATCATTGGCTCTATACACTGTCAAGTTTGAGCTCAATTATCTCAACTCCTATGCGATATATAAAAAAGTGGTAAATTGACAAAATGATCTCGAAATTATGATGAACAATTTATGATCTGACAATTTTTTCATATTTTTGACAAGAACCGAGAAAAGTTGGCTCAAAGTAACAATTAAGGGCCGATCTATTACAGGTTTTATGGTGATTTTTGTTCGCCGCCAAGCCTTCCAATAATTTGTCGTTTTCAATTAGTTCAGTGTCTGACCAAATCAATGAATCCAGTCAAACTATAAACAGAAACTATCCTCCAGAATAGTTGTTTTTTGAAGTGTTCTTCGTCTTCCGTTTATGCGCTTTTTCGCCCTCCCTGTCGTTATTTTTCGAGTGTCTTATTTGCCGAAAACATTCCGCATAGTGTTTAGATGCTTCTCGTCATACAGTTCCTGGCCATCAATAATGAGAAAAAAGTGTCAAGTGATAAGTGATAAGAATTCACTAGGTTGATGAGTGAGCCAATTTGATGTGTCATTATTTAATATTATCTTTTTCTCTCCTTTTTCTGGGAACAGTGTGTCTGATGACCTTTTTTGTGAAAAGTTTTGAAATGTTTCAGTTTCTTTATTTCTATTCCATTTCCTATGTAGTTCCTCTGTGTTTAATCTTTCATTCTATTTGCAAAATTTATTCTAAACTTTTTCTGAAAATTCTCATCGGGATGTTTTCGAGTAGCTCCATACATTTCTTTTTGTCTAGACAATCTTCTTGTCCTTCAATGAGTTCTTCTTCTCACCAATCAAAAAACGTATTGTATGACAAACCGTTCGCTTCTCGTCACTTTTTGAGAGCACCCCTCCTCCCTCCAATGCTCCCTCTTTCATCTTATTTTGGAATTTACCTGACAGACGAAATAGTGTGTGATCTGAAGATACTTGGATTGGTGTTAGAACCGGAAAAGTTGTCTCGCGCACTCCGACAGAAATATCAGGTTGCCCGGGAGGCACTCGTCATGTGTCTTTTGGGGTGGCGACTCTTTTCTGACCACCGCCAAGAATCACTTCCGATTTCCGTCTTTAGGTGTCCAAATTTTGATAGAGCACGCTTTTTTCATGTGTTTTCATCTGACCCGAATTAATCATTCAAAAATTGTTTTACTGTATTTGCTCTAATAGAAGGGTCGTATACGTTTACTTTGATCTCAATTATCTCGGATCCTATGAGAAATACCAAAACCCTATCAACTGATAAAAAATAGGTGATTTTATGATAAATAATGTATTTGTTGACAAAACTTTGATATCTTTCACAGGAATCGAGATAATTGAGCTCAGAATGCACGTATTGGGTGTCCTTCTATTAGAGAAAATACGGTATAACTAGTTATCAACACAGTCTAGCGGAACGCTTTATTGACAAGTATGAAACAATCTAAAAAATTTTTTTAAAAATCATGTTTTTCAAAAAAAAATTTCCGGAGTCCATAGAAAAAATGGACGATTTTTCTGTTAAAGGTGGAGGGACACGAAAAAAATAATGTTCTCGAAAATCCGTTTGAATATGTCCCTTGGGGAGTTGAACTCATGACAGGCAGATCAGGGGTACAGCACCGCTACCGACTGAGCTACGCGGGCAAAAGTTAAGTGCGCGCCCGATTGTAAACATAAGGGTGAGGACGACAGCGGTACGCAGAGTGACATTAAGCGTTGTACACCGTTACGGTAGAATGCATACTCTGGCCCCAAAAACCCCCCGTAAAATCTCCTGTCCCCCCACCTTTAAGTAAAAAACTTCCCAAGATAGGAGTGCCGTTAAAAAATAGTTTTTTTCACAACAAATTTGAAAATTTTTCTGATATTCTTTTTTTTCAAATTTAGCAAACCCGGGCCCGGGACCTGATTTTTCATGTTTGCTAAAAACCTTTGAATAATTTTCTTTAAATTGAAAAAAAAACTGGAATCTAGTTATGGTCCAAGGGAATCCGAGATTCCAAAATTTAGAAACACGGAATTTTCGAAATTACGAAAAACTCCGAACAGATCATTCCGAAATTCCCTCGTTTAGATCTGAGAAAATGCTGAAGATAAGAAGGAATTTGAAAAAACAGTAGTATTCTATATTTCGACATAACATTGATTGTATTCAACACTTATAAGCTTCTGTCGGAACTTCCCATTGACATACATATATTTTTTACATCTATACTTTTTCAATTCACTCCGTTTTTCCCTATTCACTATGAGAATATTCAATCTCATTTCTCATTTTTCCAATTCCCGCCACTCTCGTTCATATACTCTTTTTTTCACCCTCCCAAAATGTTCTGTATACTAATCTACCCCACTCTCGTCGTTCATCTTCATCACTCTCTACATTTTCACTTTATCCATCTGGTTTTAGTTTTTTTGTCAATTCCAAACGGAATGTTTATAAAAGGAGTGTCTTGGTACTTCTCTGAAAAGTCGCAACATGACGAATAGGGGGATCAATAATGACGTGGCAGATAATTTATATGGAGCGTATCGGGGCAAAAATTGAGAATTTATTTGGTTTGCCGTGACGTGTCTTTTGAGGATTCGAAAATAGGTTTGCATTTGTAAGGTTTTTTGAATATTTAAATGTTGAGGCAAAATTAGATGGGTGGAATTTGAAAATATTTCCAACGCATTTCGCTACAAAAGTTTCCAGGAATACTCTAAATTTCACGCAAAATTTTAAAAATCTCAATTAATAAATTTCACCTAATTTTTGTTAGAAACTGATAAGGAGTTCATATCTTCCAAAAAGCAAACTTTCGAAGTTGCTTTTTCATCATAGATTTGTTTGAGAACAATGAATATTGGAATTATGATAAAATACACATTCCATATTTCAATTCCCAACAGTTTTCAAAACAGTTGTCAGGATGTACAGTAAAACCTGTATTAGAAGGGTCGACCCTTCTACTGTTCCTAGGTGTCACCGGAGGGCCTGTCTATTACAGATGCTCTTCAATTAGAGGGGCATTCTATTTTTCCGTAAATTTTGTCAAAAATGTTTCCCCGAAAAATTCGAAATTATCTTTCAAAAATCACGAAAATGCATCAATTTAATCAAAATCGAGCAAGTTTTTGAGCAAAAAAAATAGGTTTTCAACAAATTCCTCTGAAATTTTTGGATTTTTAAAAATATTCTTCCCTGAAAATGTACGGAAATGTTTGATTTCAAACAACACATTTTGAAGGGGGTCCGTATATTACAGGGGGGGGGGGGGAGGCCTTCTATTAAAGAGGCCCTTCTAATAATCTCAAATAGAAGCCCACGCGAACGGTCAACTTTGAGGTCAATTGTCTCAATTCTTATACAAGATATCAAAAATAGGTCAACTGCATAGGAACCGAGATAATTTATCGGAAAGAGCACATATAGGCTGGTAACTATTAGATAAATTACGGTAACTGTAGAGTTTCATCAACCCTGTCATAAATTTTGTTAAAAGGTCAATCTAACATTTAACCTCTTGGATCCCTATTATTTTCTTGATGATCTTGTTGGCACAGGCATGCCAAAGAGTCATGTCTTGTTACATTACACAAATGTATTTTTCTTTCTTTTCTCCTCCTTCCCTTTCCTCAATCCATCCTACCTCTGATCTGAGACGAGACACAACAATTCTCATTCATTTTCTTCTCCAAGAGCAGAGAGAGCTCAGAGGCATCTCTATCCTCGACGACGGGGTTGGCGGCGGGCTCCGAAGAAAGCTCAAGAGAGTCGCGAACACGGTTAGAGAGTATACCGATCAGAGAGATAATGATAGAGAAAAGGAGCGAGATCCGGTGTGAGCTCCCCTGCGCCAAAGTTTTTTTGCTTTTCCTGTTTCTTTCCAATCGTCGGGGGATTATTATTATCAAGTATTATTGTTGTTTTTGTTTGTTAAACTTGATGATTCATCTCCAACTTTTTTCAAGTGTTTATTATGAACTTCTGAATTTATATAGGCTAGCGGAACCTTTTCAGTTTGAATCATCATGATTCATAACTTAAATATTAAAAAAGCTAAGCTTAAAACATCGGGGAACCTTCAGGTATCCTGGCTTTTTTCTCGCCATTTTCATTATCTGACCATCTGGTTCCCGAACCTTCTCATTTGACCACACGGGCTCCTAGTTTTATAGACCAGTTTTCTGAGCTTCTCTTTTCTCTCACAAAATAACGACTTGTACACCAATTCGTCTTTTTCCCTGTTCTTCTTTAGTCTCGAGTAAAAGGGCACTTACGAATTCCGATTCACCATCTTTTGTATGGATGGGGCAGCCCGGATTCCCTGTTGAGAATAGAAGCCCTCCGACCTTCTACCTCCGCCCTCTCATCTTCCCCGTCTTCTTATATTCCTCCACTTATTATGAATACATCATGCCTTTGAGATTCGGAAGAAACAGAAACGAAACAGTCAAGTACTCCATCCTTCACTTATACATCTTCCTCGTCCTTTTTTTCCTGGACCGCCCGTGTCTTCTTCAGATCCTTCGAAACCAGATGCCTTGTTACTTTTTTGCCAAAAGGTGTACATGGGCTTTTCCTCATGCTTTTGCCGGGGCGGTCGACAGCGTCGCGCCAAATCCAGTCAGAAACAGTCAATCAAAAGTAATAGCTTCGGTTGTTGCCTATGCGTTAATTCTTTCACCCCCTACTTCTCTCGTTTTCTTTCCAACCAACGCTTTTCCGCCGCCGTTCTTCCCCATATTTCCGTCTGTTCGTTCTCATCACTTCCTTGAAGAACTTCTGGTTGGAAATCTTAAATTTATATTTTTCAGGTGATGGTCGACTACTACCAACAGCCGCCCTCTTACCATCAACCGGGCTACGACTATACCCAACAAGAGGAGGAATGGGATCGTGAAGGACTTCTCGATCCAGCATGGGAGAAGCAACAGAAGAAGGTGAGATAGGAACACAAGGCAAAAGAGCTTTCATCAAATGATGCAATAAATTTAACACTTGAATTATTGTGAGGTTAAAATGTACAGGGAGGGAATAATTGAAGCTCTTTAAGTCACCGTAAAACCTGTAATAGAAGGGCACTCTGTCTCTCAATTGTGAGATAACTTTTCCCAGCTTTTGTCAAAGATATAAAAAAGTTGTCAACTGATAAACTGCTTATCATAATAGCAGAAATGTTTTGCCAGTTGAACCCTTTTTAATATATGTTACAGGGACCGATATATACCAGCTCAAAGTGTAATTATATTGTGCCCGTCTATTAGAGTGTTTGGTAGTTTCATGCAGGTTTCCGTAGTTACTCTTTTATCCTTTTGTCTTACCAGTTAGTGTGGGGGCCTTTCTATTACATGGTAGTTGAATAACTCGAACCATATTTGACAACCCTTTTTTAAGTCTTGGTTACTGTAGTTTTCCTCAAAGACTCAAATATCATGTTCACTACATTTCTTTGATGCTTTCTGACTTAATACAAGCCCCATATACAAGCAAGTGGTCATAAAACAACCAACGATGAGGTGTTCTTTCGTTCATCATCTTCTATCCCTTCATTTCTCCTTTCCTACTCCCCCGATCTCGTTCCATTCAACTTGATTTACTCCAAAATATATGTGGTGATAAATGATGGGATGCTCCCATCTCTCCTCAACATCCCATTCTTTTTTCTCTTTGGAGCATATGTTGGTTCTCGCCTGTTACACCTACTCTCGGCTCTCTCTTCTTTCAATGTGGTGACAAAAACCGCGAGAGATAACGATAACAGGTTGGCAATGGATTCAGAAGATGGAAGAGGGCACCCTTTTGCCCCCTGGTTCATAATGGAGTGGGAGGAGGTAGAGAAAGAGGAATGGGGAGAGAAGGAAAGCAAGTGACGATTGGCAAGTTGTAATTTGAGCTTAGTGAGTCTTGAGCTCAAGAGTTAAGGCAACACAGAAAAAAAAACAAAAAGGAAGGCTGGAAGGGGATGCCATTGACACCTTTCGGTTTGTAACAAAAAATAGACAACAACAAAATAGTGCAAGAGTGGGTTGTAAGAGGGATCTGGGGATTCTGAAGATAGAAAACAGGCTTATTAGCTGTCTTGAAAAAGGGGAATGTTCTTACAGGGTACTGCAAAATTATGCTCACTCAAATTTGTGCTATCTAAAGATATGCCCGTTTTTTTCAGTCTTGTATAACACGGAACCTCATCCAGAAACATTTCAGACCTTCACCGCCTGGTGCAACTCTCACCTTCGCAAAGCTGGCACTTCAATCGACACAATTGAAGAAGACTTCAGAAATGGTCTCAAACTTATGCTTCTTCTCGAAGTCATTTCTGGAGAACCACTTCCAAAACCAGATCGTGGAAAGATGAGATTCCACAAGATTGCCAATGTGAACAAGGCTCTCGAGTACATCGAATCCAAAGGAGTCAAATTGGTTTCGATTGGAGCCGAAGAAATTGTGGATGGAAATGTCAAGATGACTCTTGGTCTCATCTGGACCATTATTCTGAGATTCGCCATTCAAGATATTAACGTTGAAGGTGAGTAAACTCTGGCAAAATTTAAGAAATTTGAAGGAAATGTTTCAGAGCTCTCTGCTCGTGACGGTCTTCTTCTGTGGTGTCAACGTAAGACTGCTCCATACAACAATGTGAATGTGCAGAACTTCCACAACTCGTGGAAGGATGGTCTCGCCTTCTGCGCTCTTATTCATCGTCATCGTCCAGATTTGTTGGATTACAGCCAACTGCACAAGGGAGACCCAATTCACAACTTGAATTTGGCTTTCGATATTGCTGAAAAGCATCTTGACATTCCAAGAATGTTAGACGCAGAGGGTGAGCTTTTTGAAAATTTCAGAACTTTCAAACCTTTCTTCTATTCTATTCTATCTTTAAAAATTAAACCATTCAATAGCAAATATAGCTTCTCTCGAAAAACATACCGAATACCAAACATGCAGACGTGGCACGTCATCCGGACGAGAAGTCCACTATGACTTATGTCTCCTGCTTCTATCACGCATTCCGTAACATGCGTGAGCCACCAGCACCAGTCATCCGTCAGCCACCACCACAACGAGTAGTTGTTGCTCCACCACCAGAAAGAGACTGGAGAAAGGATGTGAGCCATCTGAGAAAGAGTGGATTCTGAGTGGATAGTGTTGAATGCTGTAGTTGTCCATCGTGCTTTCGTCCGTCCCATTTTCAAAGAGTCGTGTTTCAGAATTTATATCAAACCACAAATACACAATAACTTTTCGATTTTTCTTTTCTTCATAACCGAAAACTAATGTTTTCTCTCTGACTCCCTAATGTTCCCATGTTTAACTTCAGATTTGGCCAACTCACAACCCGACGAGAAAGCAGTGATGACCTATGTTTCATGTTACTACCATTATTTCAGTGGAATGCGTAAGGTTTGTAGTGCCTCATTATTTCATTTATTTTATGTAGTTTGAATTGTCTTAAAATCTACAAATAACGCTCTCTAAAAATCTTTTATTTCAGGCTGAAACCGCTGCCAACCGTATCTGCAGAGTATTGAAAGTCAACCAAGAGAATGAAAAGATGATGGAGGATTATGAGAACTTGGCTTCTGACGTAGGATAATTTAGATCATAGACTTTACATGCATTTCCATTTCTTTTCAGCTCCTCGCCTGGATCAACCGTTGGATGCCGTGGCTCGCCAACCGTTCCACTGATGACACCCTTCGGCAGGCTCAACAAAAACTCGAAGATTACCGTAACTATCGTCGTAGTGAGAAACCTCCACGGATCGAAGACAAGGGGCGTCTTGAGACTCTTTTCAATACTCTCCAGACCCGTCTTCGTCTCTCGAATCGTCCAGCTTTCTGCCCACGTGACGGACATTTGGTCAAAGATATCAACGCCGCCTGGGCAGGTCTTGAAGATTCTGAGAAAGGATTCGAAGAGTGGCTTTTGTCCGAAATCATGAGACTCGAACGTTTGGAACACCTCGCTGAGAAGTTCCGTCGTAAGTGTGCTCTTCACGAGGAATGGGCTCATGGAAAGGAAGATGCTCTCCGTAGCAACGACTGGAGAAGTTGTGGACTTTACAAGATCAAGGCTCTTCGCAAGAGACACGAGGCTTTTGAAAGTGATCTTGGAGCACACCAAGATCGCGTTGAGCAGATTGCTGCTATCGCCAGAGAGCTCAACAATCTCCGTTATCCGGATATTGGACCAATCAATGCTCGTTGCCAAGCAATCTGCTCTCAATGGGATCGTCTTGGACAGCTCTCCTCGAAGAGACGTGAAACTCTTGAAGATGCTGAACGTATTGCTGAACGCCTTGATTCTCTCTATTTGGACTTTGCCAAACGTGCTGCTCCGTTCAACAACTGGCTCGACGGAGCTCGTGAAGATCTTGCCGATTTGGTGATTGTTCATGAAATGCGTGAAATTGAAGAACTCGTCAGCGCCCATGATCAGTTCAAGTCCACTTTGGGAGATGCTGATCGCGAATTCTCGAGCATTAACCAAATCGAACACGAAGTTGAACATCTTGTTACTTCTCATGGACTCGATCGCGAACTTCTCCGTAATCCATACACTGATCTTTCCGCTTCGGACATTCGCAGAAAATGGGGAGAGGTTCAGAGCTCCGTCCCAAGAAGAGACTCCCAACTTCAATCAGAGCTCAAGAGACAACAAAGTGAGTTAATCTCAAAGTTTCACTAGACAATCACTAAACTTTTTAGACAACGAACGTCTCCGTACCATCTTCGCCGAGAAGGCCAACCAGGTCGGACCATGGCTTGAGCGTGAGCTTGAACAGGTTCTTGCCATCGGACTCGGAGGACGTGGACGCCTTGAGGACGCCATTCAACAGCTTCGTTCCATCCAGAGAAACGTCCTCGGATACAAATCAAACCTTGATGAGCTCGAACGTATCCATCAAGAGATGCAAGAGAACTTTGTCTTCGAAAACCGTAAATCTCGTTACTCAATGGAATCGCTTCGTGTCGGATGGGAAACTCTTCTCACCAGTATTAACAAGACGATAAACGAATTCGAGAATCAAGTTTTGCTCCGTGACAGCAAGGGAATCAGTGAAGAGCAAATCGCTGAGTTCCGTGCTTCATTCAGTCACTTTGACAAGGAACGCGCTGGTTTGGACCCTGAGCAATTGAGGTGGGAAGATTTGACAACACTGATCACTTCTGTAGGCGTCACAGACTAACACAACATGTACCGGAAATTTAATGTACTTTATTAATTTTCCAAGTCATGTAGATCATGTGTTTTCGTTGTTTCAGACAATAATAATTATTATTTTTCAGAGCTTGTCTGATTTCCGTTGGATACACCATCAGACCAGGACGTGAAGGAGATGCGGAACTTCATCGTGTTTTGGCACATGTCGATCCAAATCGTATGGGACGTGTACCATTTGAGGCCTTCCTTGATTTCATGACCAAAGAGAATTCAGACCAGGATACTGTAGAGCAAATGATCGACTCATTCAGAATACTCGCATCTGGAAAGGTATAGTAGAATCTACAACAGTTCTAAAAACGGAGTTTATTCATTTCAGACATTCATCACTGCCGAGGAACTGGAACGCGAGTTGCCACGTGATCAAGCTGCTTACTGTATGGCACGAATGGCTCCATCACGAGAGCCAGGAGCCCCACCAAGATCGTTCGATTATGTGACATTCAGTCGTAGTCTTTACTCTCAATAACTATAAGTTTCTATGAACCTGTTTCTCCCTATTTTTACTTCCAAATATCCCAATCTTTGTCCTTCACATGTCTTCTTTCTCTTTCAATGTTAAACTCGCCTTCCATCCCACCGACTCAAACACTTTTTTTTCGTAACTACAGTAACCTTTTTTTCTCTCTTTTTTAGTGTATATACTTTTTTGTTTTCTCTCTTCGCGTGCTTATTTTTTCTTCATCCAAACACTTTAAAGTTATTCAAGGAATCGGTGACACAATTACCGGACACAAGTGAAAACCCAACCACATTTCTATACCGTATTTTCCTTTTTCTACTCAATATGGATTTTCATAGAGTTTTACTAGTTTTTGTCTTGTCTCTTTTTTAATATAAGCAATTTTTGTGCTAATAAATTATACACATAAAATTGTGCTAATGAGAATTGAACATCTGGCGCACAATAAGCCGGACTGATGAAAACAGGTATACCTTTAGACATAAGTATCTTGGAAGCACGAAAATTGATAGAAATATTATTTTACGTTCCATTCAAAGCTACTGAAATTTTCAAAGCAATTCCTCAAGTCTGGGTATTGTTATGATTGTCCAAAGATGAACGGCGTAATGTTTCTAGTGATATTTATGAGATGAAGCAACTTTGACAAGCAATAACTTAGCTCAAAGATGACCAAATAATTTGAAACTTGGCCACTTTACTGATGAACTATTCGAACTTTTGCTTTACAAGTTTACAAAAAGAAGCTTTCCTGGTTGTGATGTTCTTTTAAAATAACAATTTACTTCTTTATAGATTCATTATTTACCAGACGTTTCAGAAAAGAACCCCAGTTACATTCTAGGAAAAGTGTCTCGGATTATTTTAGTCTTCAGAATTCTTCGAAAACCATTCGTGTTTCCCACAAAACACCTTCATGTCAGTCTCCGCCCATATATATTTCCTGTATGTTAATTGCTGTCCGACCACGCCCATTTTAGATATGAGAAGCTCTATCTCATTTTATTCAGCGAGCTATTCGATATGGACAACATCTTACGGTATGGCTCTGTGGAAGGGATTCCCCTTTACAACTGCAGGTATGTTCCTCTCATTGTCAGATTCGCTAGGTTTTCGAATCATGTATCGTAAACACTCTAATAGAATGCAACTTTAACCGCCTACTTTGAGCTGATATATTTCGGTTTCTATCAGAGATATCTAAAGTTTGTCAACGGATAGAATGTTATTCATATCAATAACATTTTATTAGTTGTCAACTTTTTCGAATGGATCCAAAGTTGAGGGTTTGGGTAGCCTTCTATAATAGTTTTGGCTCTTTCCGGGATGAACGGTTCCAAAGCGGGTTTCGACAACGGTCCCATTGTTCCGATAACTTTCCCAATGTTCCGAGACCGGTCCCAGCGTTGCGACAATGGTCCCAAGGGAACGGCAACGGTCCCAACCAGGCTTAACCTGGAAACCCTATTGGAAACATCGGGAATCGTAATTTTTGTTTCAACGAAGAAACACAATTCAGCAACAAAAACGAACGTTTTGGTGAAAATTGAGAATTCCAGCATTTCTTTACTTGAATTTTTTCAGAGTGTATGTTGTTTATAATTATAGGCTTAGGCTGAAAGACCTTTAAAAAAAACGTTTTGGCCTAAGCCTACAATACAAAAATCGTAAAATTTTGTGAAACATTCCTGTCAAAAAGTATTGAAATTCCCAAGTATAAGTAAAATGTTAAATTTTCCACTGGATTTTTTAAAGACCGTTCCGTTTTTTTGGTCCGATGATGGGACCGGCGGTCCCGTTTTGGGACCGTTCTTCCCGGAAAGAGCCATAGTTTTTACGGTAAGCGAAATTAAAATTTTAGTGGACATACCTCTGAAGAGTGGTCCGAGCTGAAAGGGAAAAAATGGCCAATCCTTGGTGCGTGTCAGGCGGCATACGGTATCACTATCGATGTGAGATTTAAAATATATTGTTATCTATTTGTATTTCTTCCTACAGATCCTCTACTTACCAATCCTTTCAATCATTTTTGAGAAAGAAAACTTCAAAATGTCCTGTTTCAAAATCATGTACCTCTTGGGAATCATCGACTTCTGTATCACCTACGTCAACTCAATTCTCACTGGATGGTTGGCTATGAAAGGAGCAGTTTACTGTACCCATCCGAACATCATCTACATCTCTGGAATGATTGTTTGTGCACTCTGGTGCAGCTCCTGCATGACTGCTCTTCTTCTTGTTGCTAATCGTTTGTTGGGAATGACTAAGCCATCATTAGCTGTCAAAATTTTCGATGGGTCAGTTAGAAAATGATATTTAAAATATTTTAATTAGTTTTCGAACTTCAGAAGGAAGACCTATGTCGCTCTGATGTTTCCAATCCTCTACTTCATCTACTTCCTCTTCACCGCGCCGCTGGTATTCAATTCCAAGTACCTCGCTTGGTTCTACACCCCAATGATATTTGACGACGGTGCCACTGAATACTTCAATCACTCCCACACAATCAACAACTTCTTGATTGTAACTCTCACATGCATCGTCTACACTCCCTTTCGTTGGGTCATTGGAACCAATCTGAAACATGTTAAGAACGCCAACACTTCTCAGCTACAGAATACGGTATTTCTTATGAAATCTTGTGTAAAATATACAACTTTTTTCAGAAAACCCAAGTATTCCTTCAGTCCACTCTGATATGTGCTGCCAATCAAGTTTGTGCTGTCATCTACGTCGTCATGAATGTAACTGAAGTTCCCGACTGGATCATAATTTTTGCTCATTTCACTTGGGAATTCATCCACGGAGCTCCGGTTTTCATTTATCTCGCATTGAACCGAATGATTCGAGAACGGTTTCTGGAAAAGATGAATGTGATGAAGGGAGGAGCGTTTCGAGAGACCACCTCGATGATGCCGATCAACAAGAGTGGAGCATCTCCTGTTGTCATTGTTAATTGAAACGTTTTCTTACTTTTACAATTGTTTGCATTCCTGATGTTCTACAGTTACTGTGCTTCCTCTAATAGTATCCCAACTTTGATCTCAATTATCTTGTTTCCTGTGAAAATTTTCGAACATTTGTCAACTAATGAACTATTTATCATAACATCATCAAAATTTTATGAGTTGACAAATTTTTCATATCTTTCACAAGAATCGAGATAATTGAAAAACGGTTTTGTATGGGCTTCTACTAGAGGAACTGCGGTAACACTATTTTGACCGAACCGTGAAAACACTCTCAAAATCATAATTTCTTCAAATACACACCAAAATCGACCTCAACTACCCGATCTGTATCTCTGAACGAAACTGAAACTGATAAACTGATTTTTATATTAACTTGATCATTCCTGTGATCAGCTGGGTTTAATTATGGCATTGGTGAGAACAAGGCTATTCAATTATTTTCTCTCCCAACCCATCATGATCATTGGTTTCAAAGACCTTTAAAAGTCAACATGCCACACCTTTTCTGTATTATGATAAATTTGCAATTTAATCATATTCCTCCATTCACCATTTGATCTGTACTCATTTCCATGTAAATTCCACCTCAACTCATTCTCTCCCAAAAATGCTCATCAATGTCCAACTACTTCCGTTACTTGAGAACCCCAATCACTTCAAACTTTGACCCTCTCTTCTCATATACTTATATCTTTACCCTCATCGTTTATCTGTTGACTTCCGGTCCGTTCTGTCAAGTACCTGATATTCTATCGGATGATAAGCTCAAATACAAACAAATAATTGATGTTCAACAAGATACTGTATCATTGTTTCCAAAGCACCCCTTTTTTTTGGAAACAAAATTCTCAATTTTTTCCCGCTATCCCTCCAGCAGCAGCTTCTGTGGCTTCTAAATAAATATTGACTTTTTTCTCCTCGTTTCCACAATTTCTCACCAAGAACAACAGTGTTGAAAAGTTTTGAAGCATTGAGGATCCGAGACAAAAACGTGGGAAATGTCGATTGAAGGTCTACTAGAAACGGTATCTCGAAGTATTTGGAGATATGATCAGGTCGGTGAAAGCCTGGGAAATTTTGAACTTTTCAATTATAACAATTATAGGATTATTCCGATCAACTACACACAACTGTCACATCGAATATTCTTTTAGCAATGGCTGGATTGACGGGTTGGAAGACGTGGGCAGGGTATTCACCTATCGAATGTGCTATTCCCGCAATGTTTTCTGAAAGTGTTTCAGCGGTCAGTCAAAAAAAGATACCGTAATAACTTTGATCCAGTTTATCTCGGCTTCTGTAGAATATACAAAAAAGTGGACAACGGACGAAATGTTTTTCATATTGTAAAGTACATTTTGTTAGTTTACTATTTTTAGATATCTTTCAAAAGAATCGAGATAATTGAGCTCGAAATGTATCTATTTTCCAGAATTATCCTTCTTATACCTGCAGAGATGTTGAGCCAATTTATCTCGGTTCCTGTAAAAGATACTTAAAAGTTGTCAATTGACAAAATGTTTTTGATATTATGATAAACATTTTGGTAGTTGGTCACTTTTTGATATCTATTACAGGAACCGAGATATGTGGGCTAAAAGTGTGAGCATAAGCTGACCTTTTATTCGAGTGTTTACGGTATGGAGCTTCATTCCAATAATCCAGCTCAACAAGAAAAGAAGCTCTGAGCTTGAAAATTTAAGCGCATAATTCAGCCATAATTGGTTGAGTCAGCCATAATTGGTTGAAACTGTCTCACAATCCCATTTTTTTCTTATTATTCAATTCAATAGACCGTATCAGTTCATGCTTAAGGTCTTTGTAAACACTCTTTAACGACTTTTCTAACGTCTTTGAAGCGCCGTTGATTTGTTTAGATTTCAGTTTTCAATCGTTTCCTATTATTCTCTCCAACAACATTCAATTTTGTCTTCTCTTCCTCTTCTTTCCCAACTTCTCAAAAAGTCGTATATAAATCAACCAGTTCGTAATGATATTTTTTTATTTTCAAACAAGAAAAACCCGAGACGCAGACATGAAACACAAATTGAAAACAGTCATACTTCGGGGCAATGGTTACCCTTTCTATTGTTTCCTTTGGAGGTTGAATCGGAGGACCGAGGAGACGAAAAGATACAGAGGAATTGAGAACCTTTTGGCATCTTGCCCGCGCAGAAAGCATTGGGGCTCCTGTGATCACATTTCATGAGCTATTTATCAGTCTACGTCTCTTCAAATCCCAAACTGTCAATGATTTTCGTTTCTCTGTCTAATTCTCTGAATATCCACAATATCTTCTTTTTTCCTGCTTCTCGTTGACATGATTGTTTGCAAATCATCACTTTCCCATATACTCTTCAATGTTTGTTTCGCATCCTCCAAAACGGTCTCCACTTTCCACAATATATGAGAATTGAAAAATGGTGCGAGAATAGAAAAGAGAGGCCCAATTGTACTATTGTGTTTTTTTGCCAGTTGCTCCGAGCCAAGCTCCATTGTGATTTTTTCCGGTTTAAAGAATACCGTAATTGATCTATAATCGTTTAGATTCAAAGAAAATGTGCGAAACTGAAGTTTTTTTTCTCAAATCGCAGAAAAGTGTGATTTTTTCTGTCGCCTTTCGTCTCAGATCAAATAGAAAAATAAGATTTTCCGGAAATTTTTATCGAAAAATTAGGCTTAAATTGGGCGAATTTTTATTAAAAATGTATAAAAATCCATAAATTTCACCGAAGTTTAGCAAGTTTTTGAGAAAAAAGTGTTTCAACTAAAAAAAAATCGGAATTTCCGGAATATTTTTCATCGAAAACGTAGGGAAATTTTGAATTTCAAACAACACATTTTGAAAAAATTCTAATACAGGTCTTCATGTAATTATGAACTTTTTTTTTCAAATCAAAAAACACAGAAAAAAAACACATTTTCAGACTCTTATGAATGCGCGTCAGGTGCATTGCATGATCTGCATTTTGATGTGACGGTGTATGCAGATTTCATAAAATACAAATAGCGGACGTTTAAAAATCAGTTTTTGGGCTCTTTTTATTCTTCCATTCAGGTTGAAATCACACCGGAAGCAAAAAAAAAAAAGCCCGAACAACATGTTTTCGAATTATGAATAGATCGCTTAACCTGATGCACCACCTCAAACGGACTTGCTGTAGAATCATGTGCTCAACTCATAATTACTTGAAAAATTCATCTTTGCTCAGCTCCATGTCCGTTATTTTTCCACTTTTTCAATTTTCTCGTTTTGTTGCTTTCTCTCTCTTCACTTCTGAATTGCTATTGTTTCAGTCATCATGGTGATGATCGAAACGTTCCTCGGAATGGCGAAATACCTTTCGCCGAGAGAGGACGATGATTGGTCAGACCGTCTGAATTATCTGATCACTCCAAATCTCTTACTTGCATTTTCCGTGCTCATTTCATTCAAACAGTTCGGCGGAAGGCCCATCGAGTGCATGTTTCCCAATAAGTTTCCTGGAAGTTGGGAACAGGTACTGTAGGGATTACTGTACTTAAAAATGATTTTCCATAATAAAAGTATGTCATTACAGTACGCCGAAAACTATTGCTGGTCCCAGGACACCTACTTCGTTGAGCCAACTCAAGATGTTTCACTTTTGAAACAAGAAGAAAGGTATTTACAACAAAAAATATTTTCCAATCAATAAAAAATTTCAGATACACACCAGATCGTCAGCTCTCCTACTATCAATGGGTGCCGTTTTTCCTTCTCCTCCAAGCCGCATTTTTCAGAGCACCCAGTTATCTTTGGAAGTATTTTTCGAATCATTCAGGAATCCGAATTCATGAAGTCGTTGAAAAAGCGAAAGATAATGCGAATGTTGAAGAAGAAGTTCGTGAAAAGAACATTGGAATTCTTAAAAGACACCTTTCGAGTGCTCTCCGATTTCAAGCAAATATGGAATCAAAACGCGTACAAGTTCATAAAACAGTCACTTTCTTAAACTTCCAATACTCCTCTGGTTTCATCTCCTGGGTCTACCTCTTCACAAAATCCCTCTACTTCATCAATGTCTTTGCTCAATTGTACTTGATGAATTAGTAAGTTTAAAATTTGAAATACAAAAAAAATTTTTTAAAAGTCTGCGTTCGGGGGGAATCGAACCCCCGTCGAATGCTTGGAAGGCATCCATGCTGACCATTACACCACGAACGCGTTGAAATGAACAATGCGCCTTCACGTACACAATCCACAAAAACTTGAAACCGAAAACGAGAGACACAGACATCGAGTGGCAACTGGCAACATTATGGAGAGAGAAGGAAATGTCCTGACATGCCTTCTACCAGAAAACTAATGCGCGCGCTCGTTTTTCGGTATTCTTGAAATCTCTGATTTTCAGCTTCCTCGGAACAAATCGTCATCAGTGGTACGGTTTTGGAGTTGTCAAGGACATTGTCAAAGGAGAGCCTTGGGAAAGAAGTGGATACTTTCCTAGAGCAGCTGTTTGTGATTTTGAAGTAAAGAGTTTATTAAAATTCAATAAAACATTTCAAATCTCGTTTTCAGGTCCGTCAAGTAGCAAACATCCAAAGATACTCTGTTCAATGCGTTCTGGTCATTAACATTTTTAACGAAAAAATTTTCGTACTGCTTTGGTTTTGGTAAGTGTCAGTTGGAATATCTCCCCTAGAACATATCTCAAAAGAAAAAAGCTTTCTGAAATGTTTTAATTCGCACAACTTCCCTAAATTGCGACAACAACGCGAAGCTCCGCCCGCTTTGTGTGTTAAACATAGTGGGCGGCGGAACCCGCGAGATGTCGGCCGCGCCGTTTCACCTAGTCTTTGCTGACAGCGCTGTTAGTAGCTTCAGTGATCGACAACAAACCCAGCTCTCTGAATGATTGTGAGGTTAAGAAAACTGCTGAGAAGCACAAAGCAAATAAATATATTGATAAATTTTGGAATATTCATCTGATTGATGGTGATAAATCGAAACAAAGAACTGATTTTCAGGTACCTAATTCTCCTTTTTGCTTCAACTGTTTCTTTTATTCAATGGTTCGTGGTTCTTGTGTTCCCTTGCTTCTCCAATTGGTTCGTCAAACAACATCTGGCTCTCAGCACTCTTCAGCATTTCAATCAACGAAACAGTCGACGTGAGAATGCAGATGTATCGAAATTTGTGACACAATACTTGCATAAAGATGGAGTTTTTGTACTTCGAATGGTCTCCTCGCATGCTGGAATTATTTTTGCCACTGATCTCGTGCAGGCACTTTATGAAGCTTATGATTTTCAAGATAAAAATGTAAATTGTAAAGTTTGCGCGATGAAATTATGAATCTTCGAATTTTAGAAATTGGACCAAGGAAGTCCAGTGAGTGACGATCTTCAAACGATCAGCACTGGTACAGGATCATCAATTCGACAGAGAAAAAACAAGAAAAGCAGTAGAATTGAGTATAAGGTAAGCAATAGTATTGAAAATTTGTCTAGTTTTTTGTTTTTTTTTAGCCTGGAACCCCATTCACTACAACTTTGATGCCAGAAAAGGATGACATCGAATCAAGTTCCACGTCATCAGAAGAAGATCAAAAGCGTGTCAGCAACGGAGTCACCAACATTTAAATTAATACAAGGCTTTTGGTTTCAAACGGGTTACCGTCCCAGAATTTTCGATTTTCTCTCGCATCGATCAAATATTGAATTCACTTTGTACCGCCCATTTTTCACTTCTGAACATTAATGAAATATTAAAATTAGGTGATTTATGGGAAAAGCAAAGAAACAGGGAAACAAAAACAATCAAAAAACTACTAACCTACACATTCAGACCTAAAAAATAAGTCAGAAGGATAAATTTTACACAAAAAACAGGTTAGATACGACGAATCTTTCGTGGCCGTGGTCCCAGTTCACATAGTGGGGTGTGATCCGTGATGCTTACGACGCGCACTCCAGCCACTGTCAGTCCTTTTACGCATGTCATTCTTCCCGGTCCAATACCTTTGACTTGTACTCGAACAGTTCGGATTCCTCTTCTTACGAGTCGTTGTCCAGCGGCGACTCCAGTAGTCTGTCCAGCGATTGTCGTTTTCTTGCGAGCGTTTTTGAATCCTTCAAGACGACAAGATGTCGATGTGATAACTTCGTGCTGGAGAGATTTTTTTTAATAAACAGAAGTTATTATGATTAACCTACTTTTGTATCTGTCACAGTAACCAGTGTGTTGTTTTTACTTGCTCGAATGTACACTACCGGCAACTCGTGATATGCAACTCCATCAAATTGTTGTTTTAAAGTCTCAGCAGTCGGTAGACGTGCATCTAACGACGATGTGTTAACAGCGGTTTGAGTTCCAGCTCCAGTCGTTCCCTCCATCGTTTCAACTCGTCCCGCAGCGACACGAGTTCCTTGTCTGTGAGCATCACGAATACTATCTGCAGCACGAACAGATGCATGAATTGTTCTCTGCTGCTGAACGGCCACCGATTGGCTTGCTGTCTGAATGCAAAGCCGACCCAAGTCACTAACCAGTCGGCGGAACGACATCTGAACAGAAACAAGAACAATATATTGAGATATCATAATCGGATTGCAAAGTATGGGACGGCAATGAAACCTTGAACAAAAATTCGATCGTCCAAAAAATGACAAATGATACATTAAACTTATTGATTCACTGTCAAATGAGTAACCCAGTCATAAATGATTGTATATAATACTGAAAATTCATATTAATTTAGCTCCAGATTCCCCGATTGTAGTTCATTCCTGTATCTCCTGAACCCATGAGCTGATCATCATCACTTATATCATCTTCAATTGGTTGTAAGGTAATATTTCCACGTTGCGAGAAATCTTCTGCTTTCTCCAAACCTTTTCCGGGTCTGTAGAGGTACTTGTTACGACTTGGGAAGATTGTCGTTGATGGATTCTCCGGAATTTCTTTCTCCATAATTGAATTATGAAGTGTTTGGAAACGAATGAGAAGTGATTTCAAGTTGTCTGTTGAAGTGTTTTCCGCTCGTTTCTAAAAATTTCGTATCAATTATTTTTCAAAACGACGATTATTGAAATATACCAAAACAGTAATTTTGAACGATTCGATTTCTTCCATCAGTTGTTCAAGAGTGCTCGCTTTACTTGCTTCAATAAATCTTGGGCCGACGTGTTCAGTGGAAGGCCCTTGCTGATCGGAATCTTCCAAATCCTCTTCATGAGATAGCCGGTGTTGGTGTTGATGTTGAAGATGTGAGTGATGATGATGATGAAGATCTTCATCCAAATCATCAACGTCTCCATCGACTATAACTATTTCGTTGTTTGGAGCTGAAAAAACAAGCGTGTGAAATTATTTAAGGCTGAAATTTCGAGAATTGACTTACATGAAATCTGATGATCTTCCACACCCGCCTTCTGATCGTCAATAGGTTCATTGTTCGGGTCGATTGTAGTCACGACGACCTCGTTGTCAACTTCAACCTCTCCTTCACCTTCTTCCCTAAAAAAGGTTTTTTCTTTCTTCTCTCATAGCTAGCTTACAAAAGTTCATTTCCCTTGTTCATAATACTTTGTTGTCTCTGATATGGTTCAGTTACAACCACTCGACCGCCTTCCTCTTCTTCGACGATCATTTGTCCTTCCTGAACGTATCCATCCACTTCGTATTCTCTCATTTCCATTTCCATATATCGCTCCTCTGTCATTTCTTCTTCTTGTCCGTAGACATCCGCATTTGTAGGCTGTGCGACAGGAATACTGAATGGTAGAAGAATTCCTTCACCACGTTGGTTTTTGGGTGTGAAAACACGAGGTCTTGGCCAATTTTCTTGGATTGCCAGTTCCGCAGTAGTTGGTTTACGGTTTGCGATGTATTGAGGAAGTCCCAGATTGGATGGTGGCCACACGATTCCGACCCTTTCCAACAATTCCTCCTCCCAAATTTCCACATGTCGTGGAATTCCATCTTTGATCCATTTTCTGGTACTTCCCACATTGATGCTCTTAAGCTCTTCCTGATCGATCATAATGATACGGTCGGCATAAATATTCTCGTTAGCTATATCCATGAAGTGATGGCGCAAAAATCCGATGATGTCCATATTGGGAATTCCTTCCATTTGTTTCTGAGCAATAATATATTTTATGACGTTAGGAATACGCATCCGAGCATCGTGTCCATAGTGATCTCCGCAAACTTCTGCTGTGACGTGTCTGAAACACAGTTAGGAGTAAGTCGAGAAATCTAGTAAGCTATACTAACCCTGCTTCATGCTCCGTTGCATGAATGAAAGCAGTGCAACTGAATCCAAGACGATAGGGACCTGTTCGCTCGGGTAGACTAGTTTTATCCGAGCCAACGTTTCCACTCCGGTTGCATGCCAAGAAGATGCCTTTTCCGCGAGCACGTCGTTTTGCTCCCGATTTGTGACGATAATGAGCTCCTCCTTCACACTCAAGCCAATTTTTGAACCTCTGAAAGATTTATAAATTTGTTTTGATAATCACGAAACTGAAGCTTACATCGAACGTCGCACGGTCAGGAAACTCCATATTATGAATTTCAGGATCAACTTCGTGCTCCAAACGAAGATGTTCAAAAAAGTCAGGGCGAGTGATGAATTCTGCGTAACAGGCTCCACAGCAGTAAAATGTCTTCTTGAGCTCTGGATGATTCAAAGTCTCGTTATGACGACGACCGCATCCATTGTTTTTGTGATAGTCGATAGTTCGAGCGGCAATCATTTTGTTACAGCCGTATGGGCATGGATATCGTGGTTGCTGTTGTTGGTGCTGAATTTTTGGAATAATTATGGACAAAACCTTTTCAAAAAACCTTTATATCCAAATATGTATCTACATACATTTCGTCTGCAAGATGATGATGTTCCATTTCTTCAGCCATTCTGCAAAAACATTTTTTGAGGTTAACCGGTTATGTAACAAGGATTCATCAAGAATACCTGGCAAACTTCTCCACTATTTTATGCACGATGCGAGAACGAGCCAACGTGACGAATGTCTGCCGAAATGAATTTATAACATATTTTCTATGTTTTGAACCAAAATATTCATGATTAGCTATTCCTCGTCTTAAAATCTTCAGAAAAACAAACTATGCGGCGAAATTGCAAAAACTTCATGCCAGACTTGCAAGAAGGCGTAACGTTCATCGTTTCCGCATAAAACAGGGTTTCGAATGCAAATTTTTTTGATAAGTTTGTCTTATAACACATTATGAAGCTTTAAAATCAAAGTATCTCCGAAAATCACTCAAATGTCGATAAATACATTTAATTCGTTTCGAAACTGAAGAATTCCCGGGTCAGCGCGATGACTGGCGCATAAGAGCGCACGCGAGATGCGCAAACAAAAATCGATGCGAATCGTTGAGTATGTTGCCTGCGGGAGAGGATTTTCTACCCATCTCTGTTTTGATTCTTTGGTTTATGTTTATACTTCACAACTCCAATACCTGTATCATTTGAGCTAGACAGAATTATTGATTTTCGGTGTTTCTACATTTTAGTACTTCTTGTTATTCGTCTCCCTTCGAACATTCCTCTTTTCTTTTTCCCAAAAATACCGCGTTAATATCCCTTATTGATTTTCAGACAGAGACGTTTGCACATCAGTTTATTAGGATAAACTGAAGTAGCAAAGTCATGGCTTTCAGGCCCAGCTACGGAATGCCGTCTTATCCTCGTGAGTATGATTGCCTCAGGCACTTGCATTTTTACTGAAAAGAAATTCTAACTTCGCGTTGTTTCAGACTATCCACCTCCACAGCAGCAAATAGTTTTTGGTCAGATGAGAATGCCCGGTCAACATGTAAGTAATTATCTAACTCTCATGAAAGTATTATTGAATTTTAGCCACCTCACCAGCAAGCCAATCATCATAAAACGGAGTTAACGCCCGCCGTTTTTGTTGGAAACATTTCTGAGAAATGTAGCGACGAATTTATACAAAAAATCCTCAATGTAAGTGAATTGATTAGAATTGGCTGATACATCAACCTTATTTCAGGAGTGCGGTGAAGTAGCGAGTTGGAAGCGTATAAAGAGCAACGGGAAGTTTCCTTGCTTTGGGTTTTGCACATTCGTAGATCTCGAAGGGACTTTGCGGGCTCTCCGTATTCTACACGAATTTCATCTTGGCGACAAAAAGTTAACAGTGAAGGTATGAATATTTGCGTTCATGTTAGAACTCAAACATTGAATTGCAGGCCGAAGAAAAAGTTCGAGAGGATCTGCGGAAAAATGCAATTGAGAACAGGAAGAAGCAAGGTAAGCTAGTGATTTTTTTCTCCATAATTACTGATTCATCAATAATAAATTTCTCGTTTGAAGCATTATTTGCATCATCGATTAGGTAACACATTGTCTTTTTCTGCATGATTTCACCTAATATTTATTGTATCACTTTTACATTGCTTGTTTGACAGCTAGTATGCACCGTTTGGTTTCTGTTCTATTATTTGTTTCTTTCCTGTACTACATTTTTGTAATTTCTTTCTCATTCAATCTGTCTAGAGCTCTGGCTAGAGCGAAGTTGTGATATTGACTGAATCTCATGTGAGACGGGTGTTCTTTCAATCTAATATGTTGTGCATTTCAGGCAAAAAAGAATTGAAGCTCAAACCGGATGAGCTACCTGCTGATGAAGATGATCTCAAAAAGGACGAGGAGATCCGGCTCAAAATACTTCACTGGATGGAGACTGATCACAAGGAATTGTTTTCGATTACTGAAGGTAACCTCTGACCCCTGTATCTCTAATATTACTCCCATCAAGTTTCAGATGGCGAAATCTCCGAAGATACGAAGAAGAGTCGTGACGGAAAATCTGACAAACAAGGAAGCTCTTCGTCGAGCCATAAAAAGGTTAGTGCTTTTATACCTCATCTAGCGATGGGAGGAACCGTTTCTGCTTTACGGCAAAATGAGAGGTGAATACTAGTAAACACTTATCATGAACGGAAAATTTTATGATTTACATTTTGAAAATTCTATATAGGAACCTGTATTACCAGCCAAGAATCAGGAACGCAAGACGTAAGTTTTGACCGCATTTTCTCTTTTTGTATATAAAACTGAAATTAAAATATGTGTAAAAGGTTAAGTATCACCTAAAATTTCAAACGATAATTACCACCGGTAATTGAAAAAAGTGTCTTACAACTGAGTCTCTGCAAGAATCCTATGTTCTAACCAACGCACTGTGTCACTTCAAAAAGAATATAAACAAGTTTCTTAACATGCAAAACTTTATGTTTCAACCTCGCAATTCACCTTCGAAATGCATGTGTGAGTGTACATACTAATGTGATTTTTTAATGGCTTCTCTGCACGATTTCTCTTCCTTTCTTCCTACCTTCCCTACTTCTGAATTCCCAACATCCTCTCTTTTCTCTCTTTCTCTATCTTTTTATCACTGTATTTCGGTCCCTTTCTTCATGCCTTCGTTGAGTTGAATTCTGATTTCGGCGATATGTCCAATGGGTTTAATGTGTTCTACCAACCAAGCCGATAATGTTAATCCTCACAGGTACAAAAAGTTCCAGATGCTCTTCTTGTCCTTCTTCTTCTTCTCTTGCTCATCAATGATTTCGGTGGTATGTTGTTGAGTGAATGAGTGTGTGTATGTCATTTTGCTGTGTGACCCCTTCTAGTGCTGCAGGAGCACAAGGAGCCATATAAATTGTTCTGTTGAGCCTCTCATTGGGGAATTGCACCCTTTTTCTCTGTCCCCCCAATTCTCTATTGTCCCCGAGCCAACGTCGGTTGTTTTATTAGTATCCTTCACTGAAAATTATTGCTAATTTTGTAGGAAAACATGCCCAAGACGAGTACTCCTTCACCGGTGAGAGAACTGTTTTGCTTTGGTTATATTACCTACGTTTTGTTCTTCTTTGCCAGCTTCTCTAGTCTTCACTTCGCAATAGTTTAGAATTTGAAAGTTAGAATACGTTATACGTTGTTGTGAAGAGTGTCTTTCTTCCCGCAATAACCCAACGCTTCTATCAGTTTTGCATTCATCAGCCTAACTCATTTGATGTGCCTTTTCTCGAGTTATTTACATATTTACCTCTACTCCACCCAATTCCACGCCTACACAATTACTCAAGCCATTCTCACCACTATTGTATTTGTCTTGTACAGTATACCAAAATCGAATTTGCAGAAAAATTGAACTACTGGATATCCATTAGTTTTTGCCCAATTCCGAGTCGTAAGTCATCCGCCCTATCCCATCCCCTGTACAGATTCTATAGAATCAATTCTTATTCTTTTTGTTTCTTTTACAACATGCATGCAATATCTCAGTCACCTTTTGTGTTCGAAAATGGTTATTAACCCTAATCGGAAAATTTTGGTTATTTTAACTCGAGGTGATGGTTCGAAATCAGTGATTTCGAAGTGGAAGATCAGTAAGTACTACTATGTGTATGTCTGTGTCATTATCGATTTCACAAAAATTATTTTTCATATCTTTCTCATCTCACTCTCATGCTCAATCTCTTGTCCATCGAAGTTTTATTACAGAAACTACTATGAAAAAATTGCCAAAACATTTATGTAGAAAAACGCTATTTGCCTCTTTTCTGACTGTTTTTCAATGTCTTTTGTTTCAGGATGACTACAAACGGAACCGTCACCGCCGCAGTCGGACTCGAAGCCGAGATCGAACTTCTCGCCGTTCAAGAAGCAAAGATTCGCCGAAGAGCAAGTATGTGTCTTCATCAGATGCAATTTCATCGTAAAAACTTTTCAGGAAGTCTAGAAGAAGCCGCTCAAGCTCCAGTTCATCTACAGATTCTTCATCGTCTTCCTCTCGTAGCTCGTCGTATTCGTCTCGCTCTAGATCTCGTACTCCTCAACGTAATAAAACCTCGAAACGCCGTCGTAGTACCAGTCGCGGCTCTGAGGATAGTGACGATGCTCGTGAAAAACGGATGATAAAGCAAATGATGAAAGAGAAGGAACAAGCTTATCATGCTCGCCTTAAGCGCTGGGAATCGAGAGAACGTGGAATGGCTAAGAAATACGAAAGAGAAGAAAGAAAAGAGAAGGATCGTCAAAAGTCGGTTCAAAAAGAAGCAAAACGGTTGAAGATCTTTTTGGAAGACTATGACGATGAAAGAGATGACTCAAAGTACTACAAGTCGTCCCAATTCTTCCAACGAAAGCGAGATTATGAGAAAGAGCGAGAGGCTGACCAAAAGGATAGACTTCAAGAAATACAGGAAATTGAAGAACTCAAGAAACAGATCATGGCTGAAGCTGCGAATGACACAAGTATAAACGTAGAAGAAGAAGCGAAAAAGAGACACCAAATTAAAGTGAGTTTTTAGCACAACAATTATACTTTAATTTTAATTAGCCTTTCTTGTATAAATTTGTTTTTGCACGAATTCAAAAGTTTCAGGAGGACGAAGCCAGGCGCAGAATGAGAGCTGACAGCGGAAGCCCGAATCCACACCAGCCACTTGGTCAGTCGGCTAATGGGGATAATATGGAATCCTCAAGCGAAGATGAAAGTGATAGTGAGAAGGCAGTCGACAAGGAAGAGGTGAAGGAGGAACCAAAGGTTCCAATGGACCACGGTGAAGGTCCATCCGAACCACAAGTCAGCGAAGATTTATCCGGAGCTAATAGTGCTGGTGCTTGGAAAGCAATTGGTGATGATTCCTCACTAGTCTCTCAAATTACTCGTCCATCTGCTAATGGAAATCAGCAGGCTGCACCTTTGAAAAAGGAAGTTTCTCCAATGCCCATAGCGCAGAGACTCAGTGGCGTTTTTGGAAACGACGACGATGAGGATGATGAGAATAAAAAGAAAAAGATGAAGCCATTTGAAATTACTCGAGAAGAACGAATGCAAGTGATGTCTGACGACGAAAAGAAGGCGTTGACAAAACAAATTATTAAGAAAATTCCGCTTACAAAAGGTGAGTAATATTTTCTTGGTTGAAGATATATTTGGATTTTTTTCAGAAGAACTTTTCGTTCACAAAATTGAATGGGATCAGTTGGATCAAAAATGGATGGATACACGAATCCGTCCGTGGGTGTCAAAGAAAGTGAGCTCCTTCCTTGGTGAAGAGGATAAATCACTGTGTGATTTCATCTGCGAACAGATTGGACAGCAAGCCACCCCAGAACAGATTTTGAAAGATGTGGCAATGGTTAGTATAGGAATTTGTTTTTTAAATTATCTAATTTCTGTTTCCAGATCATTGACGAAGATGCTGAGCAGTTCGTAGTCAAGATGTGGCGTCTTCTCATTTATGAGGGACAGGCTCGTCGCATGGGAATCACCTAATTTTAAATTCTTGTTACCATGTCCATGTGTTTCATAACAAAATCGTTTATATTCCCTTCTGAATTTCATCCTAAAATCTAAATTGTTTTTAGCCCCAACCAGTATATTCTATTTCCTACCGCCCACCACCAGAACCCGACCCCCGCTATTTTTCGTCGTGATTTAACAATCAAGTTTTATTAATAATAAAATCTGTTTTTTTTAATCTCTTGAGACACCACCTTGTTTTTCATTATGGCGGCTACTACCTCTTGGAAATTTCTTTTTTGTTAGGATCTTCTAGCTAATTTTTATTTATATAGCTCATCTTACCCCAAAAATGAAGATTCGATGGGCGATTTCGTTGGAGGAGACGATGACATCTCCGAATTTTCAAAACATATTTCGAAAAGCAATATTGTGTTTGTCAGAAACTGAATTAGAATATCAGAAAAAATTCCGATTCAAAGAAGATGCGCTGGCTTGTTTGATCGGTAAATTGATGCCAAGGTTTGGATTTTATTAAAGACGTTCTTGCAATTTTCGTTTTTCAAGGAAAGCAGCAGTTCTTCACACTAACAGACAATGGAATTCACTAGAATTCGTGAAAAATAAAAGCGGAAAACCATCGTTACGTCAAGATGCTTCTTCTGTTCCAAGATTCGAATACAATGTTTCCCATCAGGGAGATCTTGTTGTCTTGGCCACAGGGGATACTCGAATTGGTTAGTGTTCATTTTGGCATGCAAAAATCGCAGTTTTTCGCATTTTTTTTCTCGTTTTCACTGCTTTTCGTCGAATTGTCTGTTATTTTTCCGCAAACAAGTGTCTGAATAGTGACTGAAATGAAATGAAAATCGAGAAAATAAGTCCTCAAATTAAAATCATTTTTAGAGTACGGTAGTTGTCGTTGTGGGACCCTCGGACCGACATTTTTCTTCCGCAATTCCGATTTGTTTGTACCAGAAATATACCGTATCTGCTCTAATAGGACCCCTTCCAAACCGGCACCATCGAGTATATTTATCTCGATTGCTGTAAAAGGTATCAAAAGTTTGTCAATTGATAAATTAATGCTGATATTATGATGAATCATTTATCAGTTGACAAAAATTTTGATATCTTTCTACAGAAAATTAGATAATTGAACTCAAAGTTGACGGTTTGGGTAAGCTTCTGTGTATCGAAGAAAATACGGTATCCGAAAACCCTCTATTCCAGGTGTTGATGTGATGCGAATTGACGAGTCTCGCCGAGAAACAGCTTCGGAACAAGTTGACAGTTTCAAACGACATTTCAGTGAAGATGAAATAGAATCGGTAAAAGGAGGAGACAAGAGTGACTTGAAAAGGTTTGTTCGTCAAGACAGATTTTATTGGTCTAGTAAAACTTCAAAACAAAGTTGTTAGGTTTCAAGCTAATTCGAAAACAACTCTTGCATTTCCTTGTTTCAGGTGGCAAGCGTTCTACCGTATCTGGTGTCTAAAAGAATCGATTCTAAAAGCGACTGGTGTGGGACTACCCGATGGATTGCATAATCACATTTTTCAGTTGGACCCAATCTACGAACACATTCCTGGTAATCCACTAAACTTTCTTTTCACAATTTTTTAAATCTTTTTCCAGGAAGCTCTACAACATCATCTCTATACTTTCATCAATCCATTCCACAGCCTCAATGGACTTTTGAAGAATCCTACATCGGAGAAAATCACTGTGTTGCGGTTGCTTCTGAATCCCCATCAAAAGAATTCGTGCCGTTCGAAATGACTACTCTCTCTGAGATGATTGATGAAGCGGACTTCGTAAATGTGACTGCGGACCCTGACGAAGAACTTGATGCATTTATGGAAAAACCGAATAAACCATTTTGAAATCATCAAAGTAACAGAAAACATTTAGTACACCAGGAGGGAAAAATAATAGATAGAGACACAAATAAAATGATAGAGCGATGAGCATTTTATAGATGGAGAAAATACAGACAAAGAAACATGTCGAAAGAAGAGGCGTCGTTTTGCTTATTTTCCGGGTCGGAGACCGTCACCACGACCGATCGCAATGTTTCGTTTCATGTAGGGAAGAAATTGACGAGCTGCGTTTTTCTCCTGAAATGAGTTTTGAGAATTTTGAGCTAACAATCACTATGAATTTTCTAGGACGTCTTGTAAATGCGCTCAAACGCAATAAACCGTAATACTGCAGTAAACTTGGTCTCGACGCGAAAGCTTCAAATTGAACTGTTGAGTCGCTACCTGCAGTCGAAAAAAGCGCGAGAGACAATTGTTTTTTAAAAGGTTCCAGAACCCCGTTCTTAAGAAACTATGATTGAGGTGGATTTGAACACTACCTCCAACTACAGTAACTTTAGCTTCTGAACACTTTTAACCTACATCGCTCTCCAAATCCACTGGATCGTAATCGTAATTCAGCCGGAAGTACGGCACAGCCGCTGCGAGCCCAACGAGAACCAACAGTACCAGAACAAAAGTGCGCAAAGTCAACATTGTTTTGCCCTGAAACCCAGATATCGGAAGTACATACTAAACTCTACAAAAAAACAACATAGTAAGATGTGCAAATGAGGCATATAGACCCGTCTCGGGATTCGGGACCCATCTCCTCTTCTAAACCACGCCCTTTTCAGGAGAGGTTGAGAGTTACAGAGATGCGGGCAAAGAAGAAAGAAAAATTCAATGAAATACGAAAAGTTGTTGGTGTAGTATATAAAAATAGAGTGAAATTGACATTTTTTCTGGTCATTTCTGCTGACTTGATATATGAAATAAATGAGTGATGAATTGAATGGAAAGGAAGGGGACTGATGGTTTTTTGGCGGGTGTAAGAAGAAGCTATGAGTCGTGTCCAAAATGATTGCTACGATGATGATGATGATGATTATGATGTCATTCGAAAAGTTGTGCAGAAAGAAGGAGGAGCAATCTGCACTAATTTTTCAGTGGAAATATTCAGTTCCGCAATGGCTAGTGGTGGCTCTGGGAAATGTGGGATTACGGTACATTTGACAAATATAAGTTTAGAGAAGCCCACTCAATTTTGGGCTCAATTATCTTGATTCGTGAATTATATAAAACGTTTTCAACTGATAAAATATTGGTCATATTATGATAACACATTTATCAGTTTACAAAATATTGATATCTCTCAGGAATCGAGATAATTGAGCTCAAAGTTGACGGTTTCGGTGGGCTTCTTTTAGTGGAAACGGTAAGAAGGAAGTATTTGATCATTTTGAAATGGATTGTTAGATTAAAGTCTGAGGATTTTTTAAAGATTAAGAAGATCTGTATTTGCCGATGACGATACTCATTTTCAGAAACACAACCATCTGAAAACCCGTATTCCTTGACAAGGAATGTTCCAATAACACGTGACATATTGAAAATACTCTCTCATAACAAGATTAGCTCAAAGTCACCCGTTCCATAAAAGCAACCAAGTCAACAAACTTCTCTCCCAATCACCTCCCATACCAATAATTCATCAGTGTAGGTGGTGAAAATGAAAATAAACAAGTGAGTAATTCTAAAGAAGGACGTCATATGAATCTGGATTTATATCTAGACAAGACAATGATGACACTTTGAAGTAGTTTCGAGAAGAACTTTGAAATGGTTGAATGGCGGAAAACGTCTGATGTTGACGTGCTGCAATCTATTTTCATATGTGCGCCGTTTTTAGAAGTTCTGCAAGAAACACGGTAACATAGAATTCTTGTTTCGGAGGACCATTGAGAGCTACTATTATTTTCTAGCATCGTATTTACAAAACCATGATATGTGGGTAGACATGAAAAACAATTTCCTCGAAATTCAGTTCATATAAGTCCCTCGAGGAGTTGAACTTGTGAGTACACCGATGGAGGTACCGCGCCGCTATCAGCTGAGCTATGGTGGCGCAAGCTGAGGCTATTAAACGGTATAGAAGATCTTCATGATAACATCTTCAGGATTACTCAATCATTAAATGAAATCTCTAGAAATGTCATTTATTTTCATTCACCACAATCTATACGAAATTCTCTAATCACGAATTCTTTTTGACGATCCAATTCAGAAATCTAACCAGAATATTTTCCAGAATAGAATCACTTTCATCTTCAGAATCTCCACAATTCCAAACATGACTCATTCATGGGTCTAGTTCAATGAGCTGAACGTCATAAAAACATGTACACTTTTATTAATTTGTTCTGATTGTTGGTCGGCTCCTTTCAACTTGAATCTAAATTAGTTCGAATAGATTGTTGGCCACCACTCAACGAACAACTTTGACGTATTTTTAAGATCTTTGGGAAAATTTGGGGGAACATTTGTTCGTTAAGGTGATAGATTGGATTGGACCTGTAAGACGTACTTAGGCTTATAAAAAACTTGTGTAGAAGATCATGTAAAAAGTGAAATTTTAGCTGTTTCTAGACCAATTAAATGAACATTGAGAACAAATGACCCAAATGAAACATTGCATGCAAATGGGGCGCATCAAAAATAGAAGTGCCATCTCATGATAATTCAAAGTTCGAAGTTCATGTGGGTCGGTGGTAAAACATAAGATATGTCCTTTTTTAAACGAACAGAAGAAAACTCAGTAATTTTATGAATTCTTGATTATCAACTCAATTTTTCTTCTCTCTAACCGCTAGAAGCTAGCGCTAAAGATAGGAGCTACCGTAGTCCCACTTGCCCGAGTAATAACAAGAGATAAACACGACGAAGCTAAATATAGAAAATTCTAGAAACAAGAATTACTGTAGCTCGTGGAGCAAAACTCTTGGAAATTCAGCTCGACTTGAAATTGACCCATATCTTATTTAGTCACGGAGGTTTCTACTTCTATTTACACCTTTTCGACTGCATCTATTTTAAAATTCATGTGAATATTTTCATCTTCATCTTCTTCCTTTTTTTAGCAATCACGGACTTTGATCTAAATGAGTCGTCTCGATTCAAATGAGATGTTTACAGTCAAACTCATCCATCATTTATTTGTCTCTTCTGTTTTTCATCTCCTCATTTTTGTCTCTAGATGCTTCTACGATCCCTTATACATATCCATGACATCATGGACCACAAAGCGAGAAAGAAGGAGATGGGAAAAAAGAAACACGAATACATTATGAGTTGAATTGATAACCCCAACTCTCTCCTTTTCAGAAGGAAGAAGCCACGAGTCGAAGTTGGTAAACGTGCAAAACGGAGAGCTTATTTTTGGGTCCACCGACAATTTTAGCACATGAGAGAGAGAAAAGTAAAGATGATACCAAATTATGATGGATGAGCTGAATGATTGGATATAGACTACATATGCCCAATTTTTGCAGAAGATATTGCAAACTTGGGGCAAAAACATTGGAGGCGGGAGATGAAGGAAATGGTAAACATGACAGATGCTTGTTTCCGGGTCCACAGGAAAATTCAAGAAAGTTATCAGTATCAAAAATCAGGAATACATTTTTCTGAACATCCCACTGACTTAATCGGAACCATCGGCGACTCAAAACATACAGTTTACCATAGCATAGGGGCCTCTAACGTTTAACTTTGAGCTCAGATAAATGGGCTGAAAGCTGAAAGTTAAAGGGGGGGGATGTAAACTTCAACCAACTTTTTCTCGGTTCCTGAAAAAGATAACAGAAAAATTTCAAAAGCAGAAATGTTTGCTCTGATTTCAGAATCATTTCATCCGTTAAAGTTTTTTCGATAGCTCAACCAGGAAACGATATAATTCGGGTCAAAGTAATAGTCTTTTTAAAGAGTTGAACAAATTTCAAAAGAAAAAAAAAACCAATTATTTATTATTTGAACGTCATAAAAAAATAACTGAATTGAAAAAATCTACGTGTCAAAAAAAAAAGAACACAACTTTTTAAATTATAGAACCAAGAAAACCACGTGAATTGGTTTAGAAGCCTGTGACCCTAGATGGCCCATTGACCTCGGGAAGAACACTATAAAGGAAGAGGGAATTGAAAAAAAGAATCAGTTCTCGTCTTCTCGGGGCTTCACAAAAGGGTCCCGAGAAGGAGCTTTGGCTGGAGCCAGGAGCCAGGAGCCTGGGATCTGGAGCTGGAGCTCTGGAGCTGGAGCTCTGGAGCTCTGGAGCTGGAGCTGGAGCTCTGGAGCTGGAGCTCTGGAGCTGGAGCTCTGGAGCTGGAGCTCTGGAGCTGGAGCTCTGGAGCTGGAGCCTTGTGGCTGGAGCTCTGTGGCTGGAACCCGAGCTGGAGCAAGATGAAATGCTGGTGGAAGATCTTCTATGAAGTTCAAGATAATTTTTTAAATTCCTGCAACTGAAATCAGACGAATCATGCAGAAAAATGTCCACGAGAAACAAGATTATTTGGAGCATTCCTGATGGTTCAGACTGAAAATAAGAAAGAAAATGAAGCGAATGATCTTTGTCGCAGCAGCAAAGGTTTCAAAGATCTTGGAACAATGAACTCTCTGACGGAGGATCCCAATGCTGACGCCCACCGGATAGAATACGACAATCGATGCCCCTGTTACATCGGAGCTTGGTAGACCCCACCGGCCAAGAAGATCCTAACTCAGAACCCTAATTCATGAAATAAAGTGTTATTGAGCCAACTGATGATTCTATCCCTTTACGTCTTTTGAACTAAAATGATTGGCGGATGCAAAACTTAATTGACCTTTATTTATATTTATACAGAAGTTTTAGTGTAAAGAATTGAAGTATGTTCCTGCATTCGATGGGACAACGTTTGGATACTGAGACGAGCACGGAGATAACCTTGATCCAGGGTCCACTCGCGAACTAACTGAAATACCAATAATTATACCGAAAAAAACATTAAAAGCTCACATTATGCAGATGCTCATCTCGAACAAAACTGATTCTTCCAATATCTTTCAAAATAAATTTAATATTGTTTCCGAACATCGGACCCTCTTCAACAGTAATGAATCCATTTGACATGACAGTTGTGAGGATAACTTCTTTGGTATTTGGTTTGATAGTGATGTATCCTGATTCTCTATGTAGATCTTCCTTGTCACTAGACCAAGCTGCAGCGCTGAACATTCAAAGATCCAGTATTACAAACAAGAATTTTCAGATTCAGATAAAAAAACACTTACGTATAATTCAATGAACGAATGTTACTTCCGTCTGGAATCGAGATCTCAACCTCTTCAGAATACTTGAATGTCGGAATTGTGGGGAATGTAACTTTTCCGGTGTGTTCTCCCTTCCATCTACCGACCAATCGGCTGATGGGCTGCAGTTGGGGATTCAGGCGGCGAGTATCGAATTTGGCTTCGTATCTTGGACAGTTTCCACAACTTTTCCTACAATTCTTCTTGATGTATTCCTTTCGTTGACATGCTCCACGATCGGATGCCACCCACGATGCACATGCTCCATCGCTATCAGAACATTGCTGAACTGAAAAATATATAGTCAATAAGATACAAACATATTTTTCAGTTGATTTTCGGTCATTTTGACCATTTTCAGGAGTTTGAAGCTCAACTGTCAAGTTTCTGATCACTATGAAAATTTTGAAAATTGTAAAACAGATGCAGAATGCAAACTTTTCAATCTAGGTTTGCTTTACAACCTTCAAGATTTTCAAAGTGTTCAGACACTTGACATCCGAGTTCCAGTCTCCTAAAAATGGTCAAAAGTGCCTAGAATCAAAAATACTGTAGGTTTCGTCCTTAATGGCAAAAAACATTCAGAAAACAAATACAGTGATAACGATAATAAGTGTGATAACTATAAAAACGAAAATAAAAGAAAACTTTAAAAACAATTTTCATACTCACCACTGGGTGCCACATAAGCCAGGAGTACTCCCGTAACTAGCAGTAACTGCATCAGACAGCCACGTTATTCTGCAAATCGAACCAAAAATGTTAACTGTGATAATCTCAACTATTCTTCCCCAAAAAACACTTCCTTCTCCATCACCTCTCTCTCTCTCTCTCTCTCTCTCTCTCTCTCTCTCTCTCTCTTTTTTTTTCAAGAAGAAAGGCAGTAATCGCAAAAATTAAAAATGTAGAAGGTCATTCCAAGACAACGTGCCTAGTTTGGCAATGATTGCCTACATCATCGTCTTCTTTAATTTTCTGTGTTCTTCCTTCATCGTTTGCCTCTTTTCGTGTGGTTGTACGATGTTGAAAACCGACGGATAAACGGCAAACTGCATGAGAATTAGAAGAGGTGGAGGCAAAGATGAAAGAGAAGAAGAATCGAACAAAAACTGTCTTTTCTAAACAGATATCGCTAATGATAACATTTTCCGAACTTTGGTGATCGTACAAGTGATGATTTAGAGATAAGACAAAATATTATAATTTGAAACTAAAGTACAAAAACACATTTTTTTCAGTATAAAACGGGCCAGAGATCCAGAGTCCTGAAAATGGTCGAAATGGCTGAGAGTCAACTGAAAAAATACATTTTTGTACGTCTCATTGGCTGATATATGACAAAGAAAAAGGTTTCAAATCAGTTTTCTACCAGTGTTTACCCTAAGTTCTTCTAAAAGAAAGAATCCTTCTGGCTGTTGATTTTGAAAGTATTGGTTGGTAACCCGGTTTTTGCCTGACCATTATGTATTTCAAATTTAAAATCAAAGTGTCATGTTTGTTGGTCAGCTGACACTCACCCTTTTCACTGTCCTAGATGAACACTATCACCATCTTGTGTCTTCTTATCAATTGTTAAATTGGTAATCTGATAACACAAGGTGCAGTGTGTCCAGCAGTCAGTCTTATTGTCCCCGACCCAGCTCACTTTACTTTTTTTCCCCAATGAGACTACTTTTACTTTCTTGTGCTGCTCTTCTAGCACTAGCAGTTCTCTCTGATGCTCGATACCATCCGAGGAAAGGGTTGGCAGCTGGTAGACAGCGAAAACATAAATATCAGGATGAAGGAGAGGCATTTGTTGTGTTGGTAGCTGGATCGAACGGATGGTACAATTACAGACATCAGGCAGATGTGGCACATGCATATCATACACTTAGAAACCATGGAATTCCAGAGGAGAATATTATCACAATGATGTATGATGACGTGGCTAACAACCCACTGTAAGTTGTCAGGAAATTTGATTGAAGTTTCATAAGTCCCATATGTCAGCAATCCCTACAAGGGAAAACTGTTCAACCGACCACATGGAAAAGATCTCTATAAAGGTCTTAAAATTGACTATAAAGGAGCATCAGTGACTCCTGAAAACTTTTTGAACGTTCTCAAAGGAAATGCAAGTGCCATCGACGGTGGAAATGGACGAGTACTGGAAACGTATGCACAAGAATTCCTTTATTTTTACCCCTAAGTTCTTTCTAGAAACGAGAATGATCGTGTCTTCGTCTACTTCACTGATCACGGAGCAGTTGGAATGATCTCGTTCCCAGATGGAATTCTGACTGTGAAACAGATGAATGATGCCTTGGAATGGATGCACAAGAATAAGAAATACTCCCAGTTGACATTCTATTTGGAGGCCTGTGAATCTGGAAGCATGTTTGAGAATGTTCTCAGATCTGATATGAATAGTGAGCTGTTTTTTAATCGACGATGAGCCAACAGTTATTTTTCAGTCTATGCTATTTCGGCTGCAAACGGACATGAAAGTTCATGGGGCACATTCTGCGAGAACGACATGAATCTTCCATGCCTTGGAGATTTGTTCAGTGTCAACTGGATGACTGATAGTGATGGAGAGGACTTGACAACAGAAACTCTCGAATACCAGTACGAGTTGGTGAAGAAGGAAACCAATCTTTCCCATGTGATGCAGTTTGGTGATAAGGATATTGCGAAAGAGACCGTTGCGTTGTTCCAGGGAGATAAGGAAGATAGAGAATACACTGAAGATTTTGTGGGTTCATAACAACGTATTCAAATTTATTAAGGTTGTTTTAGGGATTAACAGCTTCAAAATCTGTCAACTGGCCGGCAAGAGACATTGAGCTGAACCATCTTATCTCGCAGCATAAGAAATCGAATGACTTAACATTGTCAAACAAATTGGAGTATAAGATCAATAGAGTGAAAGAGACGAGAAGAGCAATCAAGAAGAATGTTCACATGATTGTTGATAAACTTTTTGAAGGAGAATCAGAAGAGTAAGTATACGAAAAAGGCATCACCAATTAGAAATACAAGGTGGCGCACAATTATCAGGACTTATAAAATGGATATATCTTCCGACACGTTTTTTGGAAGCATGAAAATTGGTAGAAATATAATTTGACGTTTGATTTAAAGCTACTGAAATTTTCGAAGCAATTCCTCAAGTCTTATTATGTTCAAAAAATGGACGGCGTAATTTTTCTCGCACGCAGTAGTGATTTTCCAACGCTTTACTCAAATTATATACCAGTACAAACTTTAGTCCGGGTAATTATGCTCCACGTCTGTAAATGTTTCTCATTTTTGATCCCAAATCCTAATCCCATATGTTTACAGTCTAATCAGCCGAGTGTTGACCCAATCTCGTCCAGTTCTCGACCTCCGTTGCCATCACATCGCTGTAAATATTTTCAAAAAGTATTGTATCGATTTCAACGACTACGAATACGCCATGAAATATGTGAAAGTGATCAATAACATGTGCTTCTATCGACGAATCGAAGAAATCATATTGGCACTTCCCGATATCTGTATGGACATTGACATTGAAGAAGAAGTCGCCAAGCGATTGGAGAAGGAATTTTTGTAAATTTTTTGATTTGAATACTTTATCTATTGTATTTATTATTTTCATGTTTTTTTGAATAAGGAAGCTTGTTTCAGAACAGAAGCTTGAACTATTTACATACAGAGAAAAAGAGGAATGATGAGTGAAGCTCGGGGATCGGGAGTTTTAGGGGTTGTGGTGGGAAACTAGGTACAAAAAACCAGTGCAAAAAAGTGTTATTAGATTACGGTGAGATTCTGCAAAGCGAGAAAGCGAATGGGGGATAATTTACTGATTGGACATCATCTTCACGAACTCTTCGTAGTCGATTTCTCCATCCCCGTCCACGTCAACTTCTTTAATCATTTCATCGACTTCTTCTTCTGAGAATTGCATTCCCATGTGCACCTGGAATACGGTAATGTTCGAATAACTTCCTAGCTCTGTAGTTTTCGACTCACCATGAAATATCTGAACTCTTGTGCAGTGATAACACCATTACCGTCTTTGTCGAATACTCGGAATGCTTCTCGAATCATTTCTGAATCTGTCTCCTTCATCATTCTTTTCATCATCACACAGAATTCCGGAAACTCAATCTGCCCATTTCCATCAATATCAACTTCATTGATCATCTCCAGAATCTCCTGTTCCGTCGGATTCTGTCCAAGACTCCTCATCGCAATTCCCAATTCCTTCGTCGAAATGGTACCGTTTCCGTCTTTGTCGAACATCATGAACGCCTCACGGAACTCGTCGATTTCTTCTGGGGTCAATTGCTTGATGATGTCTTCAGAGAATTGCATAAGATTCGATGGAATCGCCATTCTTTCAGCTCGGATTGCCTGGAATTTGAGATTTGGAAAATTTTAGGAAATATTACTCAGATAGAAGTAAGAAGTAGACTGGAAAGTACTTAAAACGGATGTTAAGAAAAGAGGGAAAAAAGAAGAAGAATAGAGGATAAGTGATAGAAATTTCAAAAAAATTTGAAAAATGAGTAGCTGAAGACCGCAACTGATTGTGAGTTTGTGTGTATGAGAAAGGGACCCCGGAAAACATGTGACGCACGTTGAACGGAATGAAGAAAAAGGAAGAGTCAAGAGAGGAGAAAAAAAGAGAAGAAATGATTATGAAATACCTTTGTGCTCAAGGAGAAGCAAAGTTTGGAAACTTTAACAAGAGAACAGAGGCACCGGAAACATATGTTTTAGAGAACATGCTGCAGGAGAAGAAGTTCGGAAACTGCAAATGATCTGTTAACAACGAGTTGAAAAATCATCACAAAATCGAATAATCTTTTTATTGAAAACTCACAGGAGAGGTCTGATAGTTTGAGCAAAATGGATGCACTTTGAGAACATTACAAGGTATCTCGTTTCAGATGTTATCATTAGCTACAAGCTTTTGAAATGAGTAACAACTGCTTACTCGACAAAGACATGGGGTAAGTACGCAGCTTTCATGTCTGGAGCAACAGGGCCCACTACAGTATACTTGTCATAATTCTTAAATTTTCATGTTTCTGAACTGTCGTATGGATAAATACTTTTTTAAAAATCCTAAAACATTGGACAATGACTAAGGATGGTTCATTTCACCTTTTGTCGTAAAATGTTAGCGATTTCATAGATATAAGCAGAAATTAGAATCTAATGTGGTGAGCCGAGCCTCTTCTACATTCCTTCCAATCTCATTTATTCTCAGAATGGAATATTTCCGCAGAGAAGAAGGTCGGACGGAAATTCGAAAGCGAGTCATAAGAATCAAAACCATTTCGTTCTCATTTCATACTCCAGTTGATGCGTTCAATGGGAGCTTCAAATGAAAAAAAAATTTGACGAATTCAGTGATTTATGGGTTGTCTCGTTTCGCGTGACACCTCGAGAAGAAGAAAATGAAGAAGAGCACAACGACTATCGGTTAGGAAAGATGGACGTTGCTCTGGGGTTGGGAGGAAGTGGAGCAGTCTTAGTTTTTTGCAAAAAGTGACACCTTTTGAGAGAGTAAGTGATGGAGTGACCCGCACAGAAACAAAAAAAAACGTCAGCTTTACAAAGAATGTGAGCCCAATAGTCAGAGGAAAAAGAGCCGAGAATTTAGAGTTTGTTGGTAATCCGACCCCTTGGCATCTCATTCTTTTTAGAGGAAAAGGACCTTCTTATTATCCGCTTATTGTTCAAACAAAATGAAGGATTCCAGAAGGAGAGGGGGCACTCCAAGAATAAGAGATCGGAAGCCATTGTGGGTGGGGGTGGCAAATTAGGTAAAGCGATACTTTGAGAAACAAAAAGAGACACTTAAGGAATAAGGGACCACCAATTGAACTAGAGAATCAAATGATCGTAAAAAAGTCATCATCTTTTTTCTTGATACTGGTCTTTGACGAGACGACGGCATGTGGTCTAGAGTATTCATGAAACTTTAATAATACAAGAACGAAGAATCTTCTTTTTCATTTTCTCTTTTTGAAATCTGGTAATATTTGAGTATGTTTGTAGACAGGGATGAACTCATGAGTCAGATTTCCAGGTTAGTCATGCTTTTGGTTACATCTTACCATGTCTCGGGCGAGTCGTGATGAGAAAAATCGAACCATGATTTTTCGAAAATATCAAAGAGGAGGTAGCAAGTAATGAGAGGTTATGGTGATTGGAATTGAAATAAAATCAACCGATTCGAAATCGAGATGCATTTTTTGTTTGTGTGTACACACAGTTTTTGACAGCTTTGAGAATGAAATGAAGAGAAAGGATTTGCTAGGGAAGAGACGGTATACAGTTTCTATTATTGTTTCGAAATTCCAATTCTGGAAATGATAAGCTCAGAAAATGCTCGGCACATACGCCCCTAATTGGAGCACCGGTGCCGCTGCAAGGCGATGCTCCAAGAGCACTCTGAACGGGGCACGATGCCCTACCGGGCCAAAAATTTTTTGAGTTAACGTACGTAAAATATCACACCATCATCACGCATGGGTCTGATAAACTGATGGGTCGGGGTTTTATACTAATCTCAAAATGTTTTCAAGTATGATTTTCAATGTGACCACCACCACCCGAAAACGCTTTCGCTTTTTAAAAATTTCGAGCCTCTCCGCAGAACAACAATCGATGTCTGAGCTGATCACTTGCCAAATCGAATTACCATGAAAACACTGATACTTAGTGGACACGTGAAGAAGAACTCGAAAAAAAAGAATCAAACGGAAAAGAAGGAGAAGATGACAGGGTGATAATAAATCTACATGAAAACACTATTGAAACATAGTGATTGACAATCAAAGAATCACTCACTCGTGCTTCGATTTCTGTCTGTGGTATCTCATATCCTTTTATCTTTTTATTTTACCCTCAGGAATCCAAAAAATGTGCCGAATTGGCTCTCTCGGGCTAAGAGAAGAAGATAAGAGACACCTGTTTGAATGGTCCAATTGAAAGACAAGGGAAAAAAGAGAGAAAGATCGCCTCAGGATCACAAAAATATGAATGTTTGAATCGAAACAGAATACGAAAAAAAATTCGAAAAGTGTTCCGAAGGAGAAGAATCTTGGGGAGGGTGATGCAGAAATATGCATGATGAGTGTGGAGCCGAATATTATATGCGTTCCAGATGTTTTCGAAATCGGCCAAGGAGGAAGTTTTCAGTTTTCAGAACCTCATCGAAAATTGGAAAAAAAGAGAAAAGAAAACAGCTGAACACGAAAAATGAATGTCTGGGAATTCTTTGGTTTTGTTATTTGGAAATGTTGTGTATCGATGACTGTGCAAAAAATGGGATAATTTCTGATTCATTCAGTGAGAAAAACTGGTCTACCGTAGTTCAGAGGATCCTTCAGGGGACCGAATTTGAAGAAAGCAATAAAATCAAGTCATGAAAATGTTCTAGAATTCCCACGCATGACCTAAAATTGTCCCAACCAAAAAACTCTAAAACAAAAAAAAACAGTCAACAAAAACGAGCTACACGGACCCCAATGTCTCGCCAGTTAACAAAAATCATTATCATCAAATAATCACGGGGTTGATGGCTCAATTGTTGGGTTGCGAGGGTGGCTGTGGGAGTCAGTCTCGAAAGAAATTTGTCGTTTTCTTCTTCATTGTGTTTGGGGACACGTCCACACCGAGAGAGGGTGGTGAGGGTCCCAGGATAAAAGATAAGGGAGAAGAAAATGCTCACGCCAGAAGGGCCACAATAAATAATCAGTGGCGAGAGTCAATAGGCGGTTGTTCTTCAGTGGGGAGAATGGGGCGGAGTTGAAGTGACGTGGTGGAATTTAGGTGTAGTGACGTAAAATTCCAAGGGTTTTGGCATTCCTGATGGAGAGAATGGAATGTGTCTGGAAGTTGAAAAAGAAAAATCTGGGCGGAGTTTGGATGCTCCTATTCTAACGGAGTTGTTTATGCTACCGAGAGAGCGAAGGTTGATAAGGGCTAAATGGATGGGAATAATATTCTAAAAAGGAAGACGTCACGGATGTCGTGGAGATGGATTACACACATTTTTAGTGTCCATGCAACTAGAGTGAAGCTAGATATTTCATAATTGTAATTAGTGTTCTGGTACAAAAAATGGGAGCTGAAGGTCCTACAGCGAAAACTACCGTAATCTAGAAATATTTTTCGTTTCCGGCTTGATTTCTCGATTTCCATACATTTTCGGTCAATTTTTTTCACTTTCAAAATTTTATATTTTTCAACTTTTCAAGGGAAAAATAACAGAAAACTCGACGAGAATCAGTAAAAAACGAGAAAACATTTTCAGGTTACTTTAGTTGCTGATGTGGAACCTTCGGCCGCTGTCACCGACGTTTCTCTTCCACAGATCCGATTTTTTGAAGAAAATAAAGAAAATGAAGATTTTGGGGAACATGAGAAATTTATCAAATTTCGAAAAAGAAAATTGATCGAACTAGCATTTTTGGAATATTTTCAAATCGTAATTTAACCACTTTCTCGAGGGAAATTGGTTTCCAAAGTTGCCAAATTTTCTCAAATTTGAAAGTTGAAACGAGAAGCTATAACCCTGAATTTTCAAAAACCCAAAATCTTACAACTTTACAGTAGTCAAAAGTTCAAACACCATCACATAAAAATTGGCAGAATGCAAACTACTAAAAACGAGGTCATAAAACCTCCACTTTTTTCATTTTTTGTGGGAGCAAAGTTTGAAAGTCCAGCAAGCGACAAGTGAGGGTGAGAATGGGGGTTTGTAACAGTTTACATGATTGCATAGCACTTGAAAAGAGAGCCTCAAGAGCCAACATGAATCTCCACCTCCTCAAATACTTGGTGAAGTATTAGGTAATAATTTGAAGTTTGGACTGATCTTCAAACTCTGTTTATTTTTCAGATTTTTTATGGGTCAGGTGTATCCAAAAATAAGATAAGGATTATACACGTAGAAAGTATCACTGAAGCCATATGGGGAAATGGAATTAAGAACACGAGGATTGACAAAATAGATTACAGATTATGTGAATCGGAAGAGCAGAAATTGAATCATAAGGTTGAAAAACGAAACGAGAGTGACCCCGGCAGCTTCCTGATTTTGTTGTGATGATACAAATTTTTACAGCTAAACAGCAAGAAAATCCAATAAATGTACGCAATAAACGAATGACTTTCGACCGAGACTGGGTATTGGAAAGACCATTAATTCCAGCTGATCCGTTTTTTTTACTTTTCCGACCAGGAACAAAACGTTCCCTCGAAGCAAAAACATAAAAACATGAGGGTGGGAAGGACCCGAGAATTTCAAGATTTGAGCCAGCACAGCAGCAGCCGGTGCGGCGACAGGACGAAAAGTGTCGGCGAGTCTTTTCTCAACGAGTTTCGAGTTGTTCGTTTGTCGATTTGAGTGGGGCGAGAAATGAAGCAAAAAAAAGAGAGAACAAGCATAGAACAAACACGATAATATCGTGTCTGAATTCGTTATGGACAAGTGTGGAAGATAGAATAATATCACCATAATTTTTAATGGTCCCATTCTTGATATCTTTTACAGATAACGAGCTACCTGAGCTCAAAGGTGATATTTCGTGTAGCGTTTAATTCAAGTGTTCAGGAAAATTAGATATTGGTTTTACAATAAATGACATCTAGTTTTAATGTAACATGTTTTCGTTAAGGGTATTGCGCGATTTGAATGACAACAATATTTCTGTATATACCCGAAAATTCCAGCCCGAGTTACGGACAGCTGAAATAGAGGACAACCACTGTTTCCAGAAATAAAACTAGTTTTGTCAAAAACGAAAAACTGGCTTCATTCCGGAAAAATACTTCAGGAGAAGATAAGTGTTTCTGAGTAGAAGCAACAAGACGCGGAATAACTGAAAAGGATATGTCCAGATGTCTTCTGCGGGGACGGAAAAGAGGTGGAATATTTGAGTGACCGCTTCCCTTTTTTAGTCTACGCCCTTTCCTAACATAGAATTGTATCAGGAAGAAAAAAACAACTGACATCACAACATTTTCAGTAGATGAGACTGTTCAATAGATTTTCAAAAATTTTCATTAACTTCGAGTAAAATTGGATAAGTTCGAAAAATTTGAGAAAAAAATCCGTTCATCAAGTTCATAAGAAAAGTCTAATGAAATCCATTACCTGAATCAAAATAATTATTTTATGTCTAGAGAAAATTTATGTAGAAAAAACGGGAAGCATTTCCTCATACTCCTCACACCTCAACTACATTTTGAAATCTTGGGACTGACTCATGTCCACTCGTGTACTGCATTATTTAACTTGTGAAAAAACCATTTTTCAAACAAAGCTTTCTGAGAAACGGAAAGATGCTGAAGTTGCTACAATCCTCTCTTTCTGTAGTTCAAAACTGGGAGCCGACACATGGGATCCACGTGAGCAAATGGGAAGAACACGAAAATGGGTCAGCTTAGTAAGTTAAGGAGTGTGTGGATGGGCAAGGAAAAAAAAGAAGAAATATGAATAGTCTGGGAAAATATGTAATCTTTCGTCCTAAACTCACTTCCAGAAATGAAAGTGAAGAAAAAGAAAAGGAACAAAATAAAGATTTGTACAGTGTCAAATATATCTAGAAGACAAGACTATAAAAATAAACTTAGCAATCAATAGCAGATTTTATATATTCAGTTTGAAATTTAAAATTCTACATTTAAAATTACAAGTTCTCTACAAGTCAAATAGTTTGAAATTCAACTGAACTTTTATAATTCTGAGAACATCATAAAATATTGAATATGTTGTTTGACCAACCAGGAAAAATGATTTCATCGGAAGATCTTCCCGGGTTTTTCAAGGATTCGGGTTGCTTGCTAAATAATAAATTGGAAAAAGGAGGTTTTTTGACTTTTACAGAATTGAACAAAATAGCCTAAATGAACAGAGGATCTGAAGTTCGCAGGGGGAAGAGCACCTTTCAAAAGTCCGTAAAAAACATTTAAACTTTAAAGATAAGATTTAATCTTGAATATCCAAAAATTATGTTTTCAAAACCCGATAGTCTGACGGATTTGAATTATCGTATTTTCTTTGATAGAAGCCTACCCAAACCGGCAACTTTGAGCTCAATTATATCGAGTCATGTAAAAGATTTCAGAAGTTTGTCAACTGATAAAATATTAGTGAAATTATGATAAGTAATTTATATGTTGAGAAAGCATTGTCATCTTTCACAGGAATTGAGATAAATTTTTTGTGAAGTTAATTATTTTTTCTGAAGAAAAAATAGAAAGAAATTTCTTCGTGACTACAGAATTCGCATTTTTATGGAGGAGTTCCTTTTCATGAGGGACCAGAAAAAAGAAATATACTCCTCAATTTCCGGTTGCCTAGAAACAAAAAACCCATAAATCCGCTTCTGTGCCATTTTCCTCATTTCCTTCTATACATATATTTTTCCAATTTTCTACGATATTCTCTTTGATACTGACCGAATAAAAAAACTCCAGGCGAACCAAAGAACCAAAGAATTTGAGATATGTGTATTGAAAATGCATGGGGGGAATTTCGGATGAATATCAAAGTGCTTTCAGACGTAATCTATATGTCAACATGCTGTCAGAAGACAATCGATCATCATTGAGCTTGTGCTTCTTTAATCGTCAAACAATTGTTGGTGAGAAAATATCCGATTAATCAATTTTGTTTCGCCAATGTGTCTGGCGATGTGAAGAGTGTGTCTAAACAACTGTTCGGGGGGTTTGAGTTGACATTCCGAAAGATTTATATTTTATTTACAGAAAGACAAAGTAAAAAAGAAAAAGAAACAAAGTAAAAAGAGATGAGGAAGATGATACGGAGAATAAGTTATAGAGTAATGTGGTGGTGTACTCGTGGAAACAATAACATAAAGATAAGACAACAATATAGAAAGAGCTTTGGGTTGGGAAAGAGAGAAAGAGAGAGAGAGAGAGAGAGAGTTATAGATATTTAGAACTAACTCTAAAAATGGAGAGAATCAGACAAGAAAGATCTAGAAGTGTTGTTCTTTGGGAAAAGAAAATAAATTAATTTTAATAATAATTTTGAACTAGCAAATATCCGGACAATGCTCGCAACACAGTTTTTCGTTCCAGAAAATGGTACAGTACCTTCTGAGATGTGTCATTCTGGCTGGCATCGATTCCACGCATGCTTGTGTCATCTGGAGCTGGTTCGCTTGACGAACTTCCAAAGACGGTTTTACTGGGCGACGGGTTGTTGGAACAGCTGGCTGATTTGGTTGAGTAAAGTAACTGTCTTGATTTGGATAATTGTTCTCTCGAAGGAATTCAAGAACATCTGCGTAGGATGTGGTCATTCTGAAATGGAGATGTCGAATTCAGCAGTGATCCCTAGAGTCTTCTCACCTATAGTTAAACTCCACAGTGTAACAAGCCGCGACTTTAGCAGAGTTGTGAAGGCACTGTAAAGCCCATCCTGTTTTGCAATCTTCCATGTTACAGTACAAATAGGATAAGGAGTCACAGTGGGGAGCATTTCGATTGAAACAGCAGTCACACTGAAATTCAAATGTCTAATAAGTTCAAAAGTTAAAAATCTCACATCTTTGGATCCAGCCATCCATCGGTTCCTCGAAATCGCTGGCTTATCGGATGTGATGAGATTCAGAAAGACTTGGAAACGACCGCGCTGAAAATGTTAAAAAATATTGCAAACTGAAAATCTTCAGCCCACCCATACAGTCAACTTTGAGCTCAACTATCTAGATTCCTGTGAGAGATACAAACAATTGGTCAACTGATAAAATAATTATCATATTATGGTTAATATTTTATCAATTGAAAAACTTTAATAATATCTTTCACAGGATACTAGATAATTGAACTTCAAGTTGACAGTTTGGTTGCGCTTCTATTAGAGGAAACATGGACATTATATGTATTAAAACTATACGTACTCCTTTATTCAATCGTTTTTTGATCTCATCATCGATTCCTTGAGCTTTGCTTCTGATAAGACCCTCTAGATGGGAACGACTAGGAAGTTGGATTGTTCTACGGAAATCGTATTCATTGGCTTCGATATTATAGCATTTCGATACAGGAGTGTCGTTTTCAGATCGAGACAAAAACTGAAAATTATTTGAATAAACTTCAGACCCCGAGAAAAAAAATCTCACCTGATGTCTGCCAGCGGCTAATTCGTTTTCCACTGCTTGTGAGACTTGACAAAGATCACAATATCTACAGTACGTCCTTCCGTTTCTCTCGATCACTCCACTAAATTCATCGCATTTCTGACTAAGAAGCGTAGTTTCCGGAATCATTGTGTACGGTAGATCGAATCGGATACCAGCAGGACCTTCCAAAACAGGAACTTGAAGAGTTATTCCGATTTCTCCGGCTAGGAATCCAAAGTTTTGTTTCACTTTTATCTTTTTGAAATCTAAGGAATAATTTCCAGGAGCCCGTATGTAGTAGACTCGGTTCCCCCGCTCATTCACAATCTGAACGTCTTCTTCGTTGATTGTGATCTCGTTTTTTACTGAAAATCCAAGATAAGATTTTTGGAGATTACTGGACAGCTTACCTCCTCGACAGTTGTATAAACTAACTTCATCGATAAGAATATAAAGTTCATCATGGGCGAATACATGAACGATACTGGCAAGAAGAAGCCATATTGTTTTCATTATATAAATTAAATCTGAAACAAAGTTGAATAGAAAATTAAGTCCACTAAACAAACTCACAAATAAATCAACTGCGATGCCTATAACTCCCTTGGAATATGTGATGTCTGAAATAATAACTTTCTACAATATAGCAATAACAATATAAGCTGTAAGCCGACAACCGAAATGAAATGAAAATTCGAAAGAGAGAACGGACACGGCACAGTGCGTCTAGTACGCTGCGGCAGGGGAAAGGTTTGAGTGTTGCGGTAAAAGTGAAATCGGAACATTCGACAACCGAATTGCATAATCGGCCATCACGACGACAGGATCCTATGCTTGTGTGGCAATGGCTTCGCAGGTCTTTGTGACCAGTTTGAGGATAATTTCGAGTGGTCGGAGGAAAGGTTTTAAAGAGAGTGTGTGTTGGTTACTTTGTATGCTTCGTTTAAAAGTGTTCAAAGAACCAAAAAAGTGGAAAGAACTGAATATATTCCAAAATGGATTGTTCAGCGAATTGTTAGTCATGATATCGTATCAAGGGGATTCATCTAAAAACTAGAAGGAATTGGAACATTATCCATCCAGAAGTTTATTTTGGCTGTGGGTGCCAATATTCAGCCAAACTTCCTGATTTTACAAATCTTTGCTAAAAGTTGGAAGGTCCAAACATTCGGCGAAAAATTCGGGGGAACAATGATTCGGGGAAACAAGGGGGTACA